CAAGATAAGATATAGGCATTCTACTCCCATTGTCCAATTTGGGCCATAGTTTCACCTGTAAAGGCTTCAATAACAAAGATTATAAGAGAGTTTTACACCAGTGAGGTGTTCTTTGAAGGACGGATATCATCATGCGCAAAGAACTGAGCCACTTTTGGTATCCATACAAAATAATATTGGTATCTTATTGTGGCTTGTCATTGCCATCTACTTGTCATGTTGCCATGACAATTAATCATATATTCACGACTTTTCATGATAATATTTTGTTAAGGATGTACATGGCTGTTACATGTCACCAAGTATCCGTTCTTTATGTCACGATAATGACGTCGAACTTTCTTGCAAACATTGAAGCTGTGACAAAATTTCAAAGAATTGTACAATATCTCTCGGTGAAAAATCATACAAGGTGATCCGTCATCAAACCACACGATGAAGAGTTTGTAAATAAGGCCCGTCGCTAGTTCTAGTATGGACAAATATTATGCAATAATTGTCTGTACGACGATGTACAGTTTTATTATGTACAACTATTTAACCATTGAACTCCATAATAGATTAGATCTTTCCAACCCTGTGAGAAATTATTAATGATGTTTGACTTAATAATAATGTCTAGACTTCCAACGTACTATATATTTAAAAACATAGCTATACTTCCTTTTATTAGGGTTGTATTAAAAATACTATACAGTGACAGCCCAGAGAAGGTATTCTGGCTTGACTTCAAGTGCGATTGCCATCCCAACCCCACCTCACTCCCAAGCCGGCAAAAGTTAAAAAGCCACAATATTTTCACATTTCCCTTCACCTAAAACCACCGGAAATTTCTAAAACGTTTCTCTACATCTGCCATAGAATTTCAATTAATTGTGTTTATGGTCAGCTGCAGGATAAGAGAAACCCTGCTCTTTCCTAATGTTTAATCAATCTCTGTATTTCTGCTTTCCGAATTTTATTTTTGTTCAGTGATGAAGAATACAAGGCGCCAAACAATTACTGAATGTCATTATCCTTCCAATAAATAAGTATATAAGATAAGTGCATGTTATTCATTTGTTTAATTCACCATATGTGACTTTCTTGATAATAATTCAGTGCTAGGTTTACTTTTTAAAGAGTATTGCAGTAGCACAAACACATAATACATATTAATACAGGTACGCTGAGTACATTCGGTCAATCGACCGCCTTCACAATGCATTAAGACCCTACCCTTCAGAAGAGGCTTCATTCGTATGAAAGCTTATGTAATTCATGAATGAACCTTCAACAGTATACAAGTGTACCAAAAATAGTCAGTGCATTTAAATGAAACCAGTTTAATTATTGCTTATCACACGATATTCTGTAATACAACTAGTCAAAATAAAATGAGTAGGCGGATTGAGTTGATAAAGTAATACCTAAATCCTGAAGTTGTTTGTGGTTTGTATGACGACTCATGCGACCAAACCATTAACCTCATGTCATCCTCACCTCTCACGTCTATATTCTTCTTACTTAAATCTATAAGGAGTACATATATGGGATCTTATCATCTTTCCTACTAGAGTTATACAAAGAGACATGGGAAGTCGTAAGAATCGTCTTCTAAGCCTTTAGCATCACTGACGAATCCTATAGGGACAAAACAGCTGTATGATGTTGTGTAGATCATTGTTTGTCTCTTGTATTTAACTCTAGATTTGTATTAAAATGCGCTATTCACTGCTGTCTTTGGTACAATCTTCTATCCATTCCATTACATGAGTTTTCATTCATTTATGATTTGATGATTATGGAACTAGTCACTTAAATTTTCCGTTTTACCGAGTCTCCTGACGAGGACAAATGAAAAAAAAGAAATGTGAGAAGTTTCATAAAACTCGTATAAAATGAAGACGAATGTAAGTTCTGTTCATCACATAATTTGATTACATTTTCAAATATTCGAGAAAATAACATTTCATTATGTGAATAAAAGTCAAAACACAGCACGCCACTGTCTCTTAGGAAAACCGACATTTAAATTCCATAAAGCCTTGCAAAGTACAATGAAACTATCGTTCATTTAGTCCAAAATACAAAGGACAACACCATCAGCAAACGAAGCACACAATAAGCAAGTCGACATGTAGAGAAAGTGTCTCGTGTATGTCATCATTTCCACAAGCTCTTTGAATTAAGTAGTTTAAAAATTAATGCTGAATATTAAACATTTGAAAACAATATATAAAGCAAATCATAGACCAATCCTTCGAACTGAATGACACACCATCTTCCCTACTGTCAACACGAATACTGCTAGGTCGAACTTTGAAGTGTTAGAGAATTTCGGAATTGAATACTTGTACAACATGAAGAGTAAACAACCACGACAAACCTAATGGGAAAGAAGGACATTTGAAGTGGCATTCCTGAGGTGAGCGCTACATTCTTACCTTTCAAGACATGGCATAAAAAAATGTGCCTTCCTCTAAAAAGAGGGTTTTAATTATCTGTGCTGTGTTGCCAACTCAGGTCAACCTAATATCGACCAAATCACGACCTGCTCAAATTGTGAAAATGCTGGAATCGTGTGATATTTCTCAACTTATGATCAGTATTGAATTTATGTTTTTTCTTTTTAAATTAAGTTTCGGATCTTGTATAGTTAAAATAATGTTCTGACAAGACTTAAACCATTATCTAAATACATACAGATGTGATATTGGTTATAACGTCTTTGTTCTTGGTGGCCCCTTATAAGGCCCTGTCACACTTGATTGCGATAACCTGACATTACTTACCGAGACGGGGGGAAATCAAAATGGATAATGAAGCATGTGATTGTTCGCTCAGTTTGGTAAAGATTATAAATAGTGCTGTCGCTTTAATGACAATACATCACTTTTCACGTAATAATCATCCCACACTACCACAGTGTATAGAATAACAAAGAGCAGTCGGCTGGGAGCACAGCTTTACATTTATGGCGATGTGCAGCATGATTTCGACTAAAACATAATATATGATACTCCCGCAGTAGTATTTTTGAGTTACCGTTTGATAGTAAGACTTCCGCTACCGCATTTACTCTCAAAACAAAACAGATTTTTTTTAAAAACTTTCGGGTGTTGCTTCTTTCTTATTTTATCAATAGACCCTTTTGTAACAACTTTTTTTAAAATTAAACTGAGCTATTTATATATCTAATTTAGATAATAATATTTTGTCAGTATATGTATATCTACGGAACTGAACAAGGGAATCGTAAAAAATACATTTATGATACAAGCGGGGCTATTTTTGTACATGTGGTAGCCGGTGGTGTCCTCGATGAACAGCATGCGGAATGCTCTGTCATAACATAGCCATTTCAATTAGGCATTTCCATATAGAGCATATTGACGTAATACATGCTTAATTGCTGAATAAAAAGGAAACGATTATTGATATCAAAGGCGTGTTTTCCATCTAGTCAATACTACTCCAAATTATTTCAAGCAGACTTCCAATTTAGTTTGTAGAAATTAACATTTAACTATGGTGATGGACAGATAACGCTGTTAAGATGTAATAATTCACCTTGTTATTTAGCGACATCTGTGTGGGGTGTGTCGTGGACACGCGTCAAGGAGCTTTCACCACTTACATCAATGGTAGAAATATCCCAAGATGTTTATCTGATAATCACACTGTAGACTTAAAAGATCACTTCTGTTTTCACGATTTTTTTTTAATATGTTGAATTATTTTAACCATGGCGAACGATATTCGGTTAGATTTGGTGTAGCACTTCGGCATAAATACAAACCGATCATTTTGTTTGTAACGGAGAACAAACATAGCCATTGTATTTCTTATATCTATTTATTGTACAAAAATCAGGAAAATATACAAATTAGCTTAATAATCAAAGCCGTCATGCCTTTTCGTAAAAAGTAATGACAGAAAACAGTTAATTAAAGCTACAGACACTGCATGTAAAGTTCGTGTAAAGAACGCTCGCAGTCAATAAAATGTTCCGCTTGTAACTTTACAACTTTGTATTCACAGAGAGAAAACGTTCTAATTTGAATTTTAATTGATATAATTGATTGAAATTCTAATCTCTACATGAATAAATGAATAAATATTACGTCTGGTGATTCTCTTTTTAACATCTTGGATGCGAAATTAAGGTTAATTTTATGAAGATGTATTTCTCAAGATCTGAAGTGGAACAAGGGAAATAACTCTTGCTTAACTGAAGAGTTTTAGCGTAAGTCTGAAGAGTTTTAAAATCCGAGTAGAATTCGTAAACAAAGGGGGGTTTTTGTCTATTTTCTATTGTTTTGGTGTTTTTTTCGAAAATCGAATTCAATGATATGAATCACAGCGCAGTTTGTACTGCTATTTTAAATATACGTACGTTTAATATTATTGCTATATGGCAAACTGTCAGGCCTTTATGATCGGAGCCTTAAATTTTGAATTCAGCACTTATTGTGTCCCTGTTAATGAGTCACATTTCTGCACCGATTATTTATGAAATATTTTATCAGTATTATTTGTTTGGTTAATTGGTCATCACTTGGAAATTGTTGTCATTTAATTCAAGACATAATGAAAATGGCGTATTCGTTTCATATCCGAAAAAGTATCCTAGTATTATGATATCAGGACGTATTGGTGACCATACAAGTGTAATCCCATTTTTTGTATGTAATGGTACAGTTATCGTCACTAAAAAAGTGGGTCGTTATTTCATATACAAACTTTTTTTTAACAGTTGCGGTTGCTTATTTAACCACTTTTGAAGTCACATAATATCGATAACCTTTTGTGTGACTTTGGATATGACATTACACTTAAATATTGTGCAGTGTGAATGTATATATATATATATATATATATATATATCAATGAAACAATTTTGTTACGGATCTGGCTGTAAAGTGAGATTCCTGTTTTTTTTTTCAAAGAAGTATCTAACCACAAGCCAAAATCAAAGGGAGGCAACTCCGAAATCTCGTATACTCTCGTCCTCGAAGAAACAAAATGGCGGCGGCGCTGTGTAGAACATTTGTAGGTCTTACAAGAAGAACTGTGCTCACTTATCAAGTGAGGGCATATGGCAGTAAAGCAGATGGGGGAAGAGATTTAGGTGTAAGCGGCATGCATGCTATATTCCCACCAGAAGAAAGTCACGAAGGAAAAGTTGGTATGTGATTAAAATCGCTCATATATTACTTAGGGCGCGGAGTCACGTTCCAAGGTATAATGAAGGCAATCCTTATATACCTACGTGAATATAACTTGGACAGCCCCTGATACAAACGTGTTCCATTTAAACAGTGTATTACAATAAGATATTGGGGGAGTGGTGGTTGCTTTCGATACATATTTCAAATCATATCGGTATATACGTGCCAAAAACATTAGTAGAGGACACTCGTCAAGGTTATTTTCAGATCAATAGTTCATACTGTGGACAATAGACTCGTCTGCCAGTCTTGGACCTAACTTCATATTCCTTATCGCTGTCATACACATATTCATATATGCATTTCATTTTTGTTGGAAATGCCAATTAATGTACATCATTAATATCCGGTAATCAGCTCATCTCGACCTTAATTTGAGCAATAAGTTTTGCTTATATGTTTGTCCCTTGAACTTATAACTGGATAATTACGGTAATTATAGACAACGTTGTAGTTGTCTCTTTAACCGTTGTAATTGTCATTATCTTACATGGATAATTATAGTCTCTCTTGTTTACTTAATGATATGAAGCACACTCTTGTAATAGCGTTGTAGCACACGCCGAGTGTTGCATGCTTGAAAATTCTGTTTGAATTGTTATCATGATGAATGATATAAGTGTACAACTCCGAACACTAATAATATTTAGCTGACAACATCATATTCAGAATAAAAATTTGACCGAGATCAAATGAATTTTTAGCGACCTCCGAAATGTTGGTGTCTAACTGTTGCGGAAACAAATATTCAAAAATCGTTTTTTCTTTTTGACTGGTGCTTTACTGAATTAATATTTGAATAATCGTTGACATCAACGAACCTTATATATTTTACAAATAGTTAATAAAAACATTATCTACAATTTAATCGTTTGCTCTTGGAAATTTTTGTTATCATAGTGATGTCAATGACGGCCAAGTGGCACTGCCTTCGGCATAATATGGCAGTTCAGTTGAGCTTGCCACTGTTTTACTTATGTGCATTAGGTAATCTGTGTTTTATATGTTTAAAAAAAAATCTATGATTATCAAGGCTAGATCTTGATAAAGAATTGATATTTATTCTGTATAGACTTCAAAGTTTATTCACATTGAAGTATTAACATTTTTAACTTGTTCTTGTTACTTACATTGTCAACTGTACAGAAAATAAAAAATCAATTCTTAAATGTAAGAATTTGTTATTATGTAGTGCTTCTAGTGTGTTGAAGCACAATGTTTCTCTTTTGTAAGTTGTTACATGATTATGTTGTGGTGCAAATCACTTCAAAGGATTAATAGATTGTGAATCAATTACAATTACAAGCAAGCAATTTGTTTAATATCAAGAAAGATTTTGTCACATAATTAATGAAAACTTAACCAAATCATTGCTTTAAGTAGGAGCTTGTTTCTTATGCATTCTTTATCAGTAGGTGTTGTCCATAGAAATCAATTGAACTTTTTGGTTGAGTTCTTTTTTAACATTAATATAGAATTCTGGTCTGTTAAGAAATTTGCTGAAAATAGAAATGATAAATCTATATACATGTGTATATAATTGTTCAGATTGTAAACCATAGACCAATGTTAATATTGAAGACCACAATCTGTCTTTACTCTCTCAATATGACAACTAAATATAACTACTATATTGGCGATTGATTTTTACAGAATCACCAGACTCTCTGATGCCCAGTAATCTTGGTCACATGACTGGTGAGGAAAGAGATGAAATTTTAACGGAGTTGGGAGGTGCCAAGGCAAGTATTGTAGTCTCCTCGTGATGAAATAGATACATATTTAAATGAGTGGTTTTCTTCGAATTCCCCATTTCAATGGAATTGAATTCAATTGAATTTTGACTTCCTTTGCTTAAAGGGATATTCTGCACAAGTTTGGATTTCATGGAATGCTTTTGAAGAAAAATGTACAAAGTCATCTACAAGTACTTATGATCTTATGGAAATTGTACACCTCAATTTACCATTTAAATAATCATACAGTATTAAATTTGCTGAATTTCTTTATAGAAATAGCTATATCTATTCACTAATGTTCTTGTGGCCTCCCTGATTAAGTCATAACAGGTTTGTGTCATTATAAGGTGAACAGAATTAGATATTTGTGTAAGTTATAAAGTCAATAGAAAATAAGCCTAATGAAGAAATCAAATTGTAACCCTAGCAGAAATTTTAGTGAACAGCATACACTCTCAGTAGCGGACTTCCCAATGCGTTATATTTAGACAGTTTGGCTGGGAGTATCCCCACTAATTTCACATGTACAAACTGACCGCAGGAGAGATATTTTGATGTTAACAATTGTTTTTAAAGCCATTACATTGGATTCTTACAAAGTAGGGAACAGCTAGAAATTTTGCAAAATGGGTGGGATATCTGTTTAAGAGTGTTTTATTTAAATAGATATGTGAATGTGTGTATTTGTAATTGTGAAATGTCAAGAAGACAAAATATTTGTTTCGCTCATGTTTTTTAGCCTGTAGGCTCTTGTACGGGGTTTTCTTTTTTTTCTATGCATGATGTGGAATTATGTCATAGTTTTGTAACTAAGAAAGTAATAAACTGATTGCCTGGAGAGAGCCAACAGGTTCGAAAACCACAGTGAAACAAATACTTTGTCTCGTTGATATTTCTTGTTTACATATATAGACCACACAATATTTCTTCTCGAAGTTGAATTATATAGGGATTAATTGAATAGCTTGAATTCTCTGTGGTTTTCACTCCATCAATACAGATGATTCTGGTGAGGCTATTGTGACCCATTCATCTCTAGTAAAACACTGTAGTAGTAAAGAAAAATTCCCACTAGCCAGGGCTAGAATGGTGACTATGAGTACCCTCAACTTCTACAACTTCTGCTATCAGTAGGACTCATCAATTTAAAACATGCACTGACAATGTGCGGTGTTCAAGCCAACTATGAACTGATGAAAGGTTATTGATCAGAATTGTGTGAGGTACTTTAACATAAACTTAACATAAATTGATTGGGTAAGCAAGCAAGTAATTGATCAGTTGTCAGTAGCCAGTTATAATAATTAATCATAAATGTTGAAATCTCAACCCATCTCATGAACCCTACAAGATATTATCCGATTTACAAGGTTTAACTACTGTAAACCTTCTGTGGTCTATAGCCATACATTGCAAAATGTGAAGATTTCAGAGTCACACTTGCCTGGGCACTTTCATTAATTACCACTCCAATCACACTCATCCACCATAATGGTCATATGAAGATCTTACCATGACTATATGTCTCAAACCTTCATTTCTGTGTATTTGTCTAGAAATTGGCATAATTTCTCCTGTAGAAATTTGCAAACTAGACAGGAATTACAGAATTTAAATTTAAAGAGCTTTGAAAAAATATCTACACCCCCGCATGAAATGCACTGTTTAATTGGCATAAAAATAAAGAGCTAAAAAGGTAACGCATGTCACACTATTATAATGTTTTTTTTTTTACATCAATTTTCCAGGATCATTTTGACTTTGATGGACTGCGTGTAAATGAACGAGATGGTACCAGAGAATCCCCCATCCTTGTACGATCCGAGAGTGACAGCAGAATTGTTGGATGTCTTTGTAAGTGAAACAGATTTGTTCTCTTTGTATGCCTGCAAATAATTCTGAATACTTATCTTGCTGCAACAAAGGAACAGAAGTGGATGTTGCTGTTCCGTGGGAATCATTTTCCATATCAGTGTAAAGAGGATGGACTTTGTTCAATTTCTCAAATATCTGTTCCTCCTTTTGCACAATAATCATGGAGTTTTGATGACTACAGTAATTTGTTTTGGACATTATCAGCTATTATGAACTCTGTGCTCCCATAGAGTGACACAAAGGCTGTAATTGATAGTTTGATAAACACACAAATTTATAACTTGTGATACAAGGACTTTTTTGAGAGTTCATGCTCCAAAAGTATCAAATACATGTGTTCCCCTGGTTTTGCCTGAAAAGCATATACAGTTGACCTGCTACAATCCATCGGAAGGTTTTGGAAACAGATTTCTATAATATTAATTTTACTCACCAGTCTGGAAATTGGAATTCTAGTTCTGGAAATATGTTTGGGGAACATAATCGGTTTCACATAGTATATTCCCACAATAGCATGGAATTTTTAAATAACTTTGTGGAAAAAAATTGTTGTGTTTAGTCATCAATTTCTTCTTACATCTCTGAAACAATTGATTCACATTGCAATCAATTTCATTGATTGATTTGAAGTCTGTAAGGATTTCATTCAAGTGAACTGGCCTCTGCAGTACTAATGATAATGGTGAAACTTTACAGAGCGTATTTAAGAAAATGATGACTGATGACATGTACTTAAGGTATTATTTCTGTTTCAGGTGATGATGAACAAGTCCATATTAACTACATGGTGTTAACAGCTGGAGCGCCCAAGAGATGTATGTGTGGGTTTTGGTATAAACTTATAGAAGCATAGTACTTAACTAGAGGCTACAGAAGTTTTACCTCACCGTTTTGCTGTTTATCATCAAATGAGCTGACCTGCACATCTGAGGATCACATGACAAAGTTAATGGAAGTCATCTTGCAGTATTGACAATTGATGGTTTGATTTCTTAATTGATTACGGAACTTAATATTGTGCAGCTGATTTAAAGTGTTAGCGAAGGCATGTGAATGTGTGACTTATTTCAAAATTCAAAATATTAAAATTTTGTTCTATTAAACTTATAGTCTTCTGTTGTTACTGATAACATTATGTTTTCAGTCCCCTGTTGTCAGACTTGAGAGGATTATAGGCTAAACATCAGCCTTTCCACAATTCAAGTTGTGAACTCGTTTCTTCCAGAACATGTAGTTACTTAACAACACACTGTACTAGCCAAGAAGATTTTATAACACCACCAGTAAAAGATTTATCTGTGATGTTTAAGTGACTACACCATCAATGTTAAATGTACTAGACTGATGTATGGCGTGTATTGTGTACAAGATGGATAGGAAACAACCAATTTGTTTTGACTGTTCTATTACAGTCCAATATACACTAAAGTAGAAATTAGTATGATTAGAACAAGACCAGTCATGTCCAAAAAAAACCAATCACTATGTCCTGGTTTTACTGTAACTTGTACTCACAACACCATAATTTGTTTTCTTAGATGCCATGGTCAATTCTAACAGCATCAATTCAACTGCGAGAAAGAAATTGATGGCACTGTGCCATTCCTTGATACCCTTCTCGGAAAGAAAGATGACAGTACTATTAATGTATTGGTCTAGAGGTAAAAGACGCATATGTACCAATATCTTAATCATTGACTTGGAAAATTCCTAGATAATTGACAGGGAAAACAACTTTTTCTGGTTCAGGTCAAGAAGGCATTCTGGAAATGCTGCAACGGGCCAGTATTTAACGGGGACAAGTGTGGTTACAGACTCTCTCACATCGATGACCAAGTGTTTATAAAAGCATAGCTGAATAAACTACAGTGCATTGTTAACTTGTTTTTTTTATTCTATCTTTTTACCATTTTGTCACTATTTTCTACCTTAGTGTACTTAGGGTTATAGTACAGCTGAAAAAATGGCCGATTCCTTACCATCATGTACACTGCATACTTCAGAACTACTATGCTTCACACTGGTTATTTGTCTGATGAAGTTAACAATGTAGTCAGTGAAATGTCACATATGAATCTGCTACTTCTTGTGTTATAAGAACTTATATTGTATGATCTTAGATCAGTTGGGAGCATTTTCCCTTCTTTCTCCTCTGTCCAGAAATCAAATATGCATATCGAATTTGAAAATGATCCGTCAAAAACTCAATATATAGGGACAAGAGATCCCAGAGGGATCTTGGCGCCCACCATTTGAGGATCTGTTTTCAGTTCTTGAAGATTTGCTTATTTTTTTTGGTTTGTTACAGGTGTTGTAAACGTTCATGAACTGGTCTTCATTGAATGTACTCAATGATGGCACAAGATATTTTTATTAAGCACCTATTAGCAAATACCATTTGAAAAAGATCCCAAAGTATTATTAGATAGCAGTCAGTTACAGGTGGATAATGGGCCACCTTGATTTCAAATCAGTCCAAAAAAGGTACAATGCACAACTAGGGACCAAGGGAAACCAATATCTATGAAATATCAGAAGGATCCATCCAGTACTTCCTCAGATATAGCGGTAACAAACTTTTTACATCCAAAATCCAAGATGGCCACCTGTCGGCCATCTTGAATTCGAATCAGTCCAAAAAACGTACAATGCACAACTAGGGACCAAGGGGAAACTGCATATGAAATTTGAGAAAGATCCATCCAGTACTTTCCAAGAAATAGCAGTAACAAACTTTTACATCCAAAATCCAAGATGGCCACCTGTCGGCTATCTTGAATTCGAATCAGTCCAAAAAAGGTACAATGCACAACTAGGGACTTAGGGGAAACTGCATATGAAATTTGAGAAAGATCCATCCAGTACTTTTCCAGAAATAGCGATAACAAACTTTTACTTCCAAAATCCAAGATGGCCACCTGTCGGCCATCTTGAATTCGAATCAGTCCAAAAAACGTACAATGCACAACTAGGGACCAAGGGGAAACTGCATATGAAATTTGAGAAAGATCCATCCAGTACTTTCCAAGAAATAGCAGTAACAAACTTTTACATCCAAAATCCAAGATGGCCACCTGTCGGCTATCTTGAATTCGAATCAGTCCAAAAAAGGTACAATGCACAACTAGGGACTTAGGGGAAACTGCATATGAAATTTGAGAAAGATCCATCCAGTACTTTTCCAGAAATAGCGATAACAAACTTTTACTTCCAAAATCCAAGATGGCCACCTGTCGGCCATCTTGAATGCGAATCAGTTCAAAAAAGGTACAATGCACAACTAGGGACCAAGGGGAACCAGCATATGAAATTTGAGAAAGACCATCCAGTACTTTTCCAGAAATAGCGGTAACAAGAATTGTTTACGGACGGACGGACCACGGACTACGGACGCAGGGCGATTTGAATAACCCACCATCTAATGATGGTGGGCTGATAACCAATTTAACTATAATGGTCAAAATTAAGAGAAAAAAAATGTCTTCAAACAGTGTGAAATAAATTCCCCAAAAACAGTTATTAGGAGTTTTATGCAAAGTTTAGATTAAAACTGATTGACAATATTGCTATGTATTTTTTAAAGGAAAAACGAGCAAAGGAGACAATCTGTTTTGGATTGAAGTATTGTAAAGTGAACTGAAATTAAATGTTTACACTTGATTTTATGAGTACAAAGGGACTTCCACCTAAAAACCCACTAAAGTGAACTTTCCTCCTTCTTAATGGCCACCATATTCCCTGATAACCACAAAATTAGAAGTTCTTAAACCACCTAATCTGGAATACAACAAGACTTCATTCTGGAATCTGATTGGTCATGTCAGTGTTTGTCTACATCATACAGTAATGTAGTTTTAATTGTCGAGATCATACATAATGCATTGAAGATGATGTTACATTAATTGAGGTTTGTCTTATACTTTTAAACTTGGATGCAAAGGCTTACATGTTTCTAAATACACATGATATCCTAAATAGTACAGGATACTGGCTACGTGGGTACACAAGTTTCTCTGTCCAGTAGGACACTGGCAATAATAATCCTTTAAGAAATTGTGTCGGAGCTGTCATACTGGATCCAAACACTGTACACTGTTGTTATGCCTCTAGTGGATCCAATATTGTACATTGCCTCATGATTCACTTAAGTAGCAAGCTGCCAATGATATTTGGTATGTGTTACAGAATATTGTCCGGATTTCTAATGTTGGAAAGTCACAAATATCGACAGTAGCATTTCATTTGACAAATAGTGGCTTGGCTCTTTTGTTAAGATCTGGCTCATTTTTCACACACTGAGCCAAGTTGTTGTGAACACTAAAGCGCACTTTCATTTTAGCGGCCAACACTCTATCCTTTGTGTCTTGCTCTATGTTCTAACATATATGGGATCTGATTCCATTGAGACAGGCTGTTATTATTTTAACGAATGTCTCTATGACATCAATGAAGTAGTTGGAGGCAAGTTATGTTTTGAAAAAAAGCCATTGCTTGAGTCATCAATGATAAGACTTCACTACCCATCTGAACTTAGTTATGGATCTATCAAATTTAGCTTGTAGGTCGCCATGTTGAGTCTGCACAGGTTTTAGATAAGACAGCATATTTGTTGTCAAACCACATGATTCCATGTTCACTAGAGTCCCCATTTCGACCCCTGCTGCTGTGGAGACGTTGCAAGAAATGATTCCATTGTGAAACAGCAAAAGGCTTCACGATAACCAATGCTTCTTGTTAAAATGTTCAGGTTCAACATATTGTATGCAATTTTACACACTCTTCAATCACATATATGTATCTTGTCAATATCAAATGATTTGTACATCAAAAATGATAAGCGAAGACTTAAGCTTATTCATATTCATTTCGGGCTTTATTAATTTTTTCATTAAATAACAAATACAGCATTTAAATAGGATTTGTAATACAGTGATACTTTATACCTGACATCAGTTATAGAAAATTAATAATTTAGTAACAGGTAAAATACATGTTACAGCATACAGCCACAAGTCAGCACTGGCCAAATGTCATCTCTGTCCAATCAGATACACACCTTATTTACCTATTTAATAATAAGAAGTTGTATCCTACTTACAGACTGTATCAAACCTCAGTATTTGCTTTATCGTTCAACATTGTACATATCTAATGATGACCGTTTTCTGCAATATTTTTGTATATCATCCATGATGTCCTTACCAAGTGGAAATTGTCACATGATTACTGTGGACGAAAATGAATTAACCCGAGTTCCATCAAAAGATCTGCAGTCATAGCAAAGGGTTTATATAAAGGACCTGTCACAGAGGGGTTTCATCTTTTAGGACCTGAAGCCATCATACAGCTTTCACTTAATGAAACCTGCATAGCCAAGGTATTTTTTCACCTTTAGTCCATCTGATGAAGATTTCTCTGACAAGTATACAAAGTCATGTGACAAAAGTATACGATCCAACTTGTATGTCTAGTCATAATATTGCACAAAATCTTACAGTTACTTTTTCTCAAATGACATTACAGGGCGAGCGCTATCCAGAGATACCTTCACTCCATCACAACAGCAACAAAACAATGGAGTGTAGGCAAATGGGCAAACGCTGCCTCACAAGGGATCAGCTCTTGGCAAGCATTTTCAACCGAGTTCTGTCCACAACATCCAGAAGGTTTTTTGAGTCCATTGCTAAAACGTGAGCTGCTTTAAGCATCCCTTTTCTGTATTCATGTTCTAATGCTGTTGATCTATACTGTTGAGCAAGTTTCATAGAGCTGATCAGTGACGCCATATCTGTTGATAAAACCTTCTGTGCCATTTGAATCTAAAAATAAAATATCAACAATCATATAAATTTACTGACAAAAAAAAAATCTGAAAATGAGATAATAATGACAGAAACTTCTTCACTCTCAGAATCATAGAATATCAAAATCAAAGTGGGAGAGGGGGGAAATCATCTTGTTTGTCTGTTAGTCTATATGTCCAGAAGAAACAAGAAAGACTATCATTTTCAAAAAATGTTCTGACAGATTTTGCTATTCAGAATGATGAACATCACAATACACACCTGTGACACTTAAACATACCTGGCACATTGGTTTAATCCATTATCGAATCAGTATGGTACTTGAGAAGTAGAGTGTCTAAAGCAAGCAAATATCAAAAAAAAAAAAAAAAAATCCTTATCTATTGACTAAAACTTTTTTCAGGAAGAAACTGGAAACACGGGTATTTGTTTCTTTGGTCTAACCAATCATATTAAGACTTAATTTTTCATTTATCAACCTTTGCCTGAATTCTATACACTTTTATACATAGGGATGAAATATATCTAAATGAATTTCATGTGATGTGATCCATTCACCCACAAATAACTGATGAAAGAAAAGATGCCTTTATAAGCATCTTAATTTTTTTTTATTTGTAAAACTAACAGCTTACCTCAGTATCAAGTCCCTGGGGAACGGTCGCAGTGAAGTCATCAGCACTGCTAAGAAGTCCTCGTAGCTGTAGGCCAGTGTCCTGCAATAACACAACAACCTTAAGTGTTTTTCCTGATAGAATCTACCTTGCTATCAGACATTTAAACACAAAAGATGCAGGCTGATGAGGATAACCATTTGTTCTATTTTAGGAATGTGACACAATTTACTTGGATTGACCACGATTTATGTGGCATGTGCCATTTATGAAGCAGATGACTTCCAGAGCACCTTGTCATACTCTCTGTACTTTTTCAAGGGTCTCCATGTAATCTTTCTTTTGTTATTATTTTGTCCTAACAAGTTTTATTGAATTTAAGTTTGAATTAAGATCGTGTTGGAATTTCAGTATTGAATTTATTATTTTCACATAATCTCCAGGCTTTGTCAATATCTCACATATTATGAACACATGACTACACAACCATTTGCAAATTGTGCTTCAAATAACAGGCACATTTTGACTTATCAAAACATATTTGCAAATGAAAATATAAAATTTATCAAATACACCATAGAACTGTTGCTTATATTCCAAAAACCACCGTACCTTGACTAAGTCGACATACTCGTCAGGCTTGACAGATGGGGCTACTCTCGTCAATGACATCACAGATCGCACTACATTCGTTGTATTTTCATAAACATGGTCATCATTCCTGTCAAGTCCTTGTGTAGTGGCAGCCTCAACCTGAGAAAAGATAAATACATCTTAAGAAAAATTACCTATACCTGGATATCTATTCAATATATCTTGATTACAGGTACAAATCTATAACTATTTATTTTAAGTATCTGATTGGATATCTATATTTAGATACATCAATCAGAAATCTATATTCAGATTACATCTATTACAAATCTATATCAAGACACATCTATTACAGATCTAGTATTTAGGAATCACATTTACATTTTTAGATCTACCTCTCATTTTAAGTGTTCTGACTTCACAATAAATTTGTCCTAGATACTGACCTTGCTAGTTGGAGATGGCAACTCGGGATCACTGTTCACACTGCTTCTACTGCCACCTAAGAAATTAAAAAAAAAGATGTTTAAATATTTCTTTGTTGACCCAATTTTGTTTGTTAATTTCTTCAACACATTAATGAAGTAAAATATTATTTTATATATATCAACTTATCTATCAACATTTCATTTCATCTTTAGTCTGTTTTGTTTATGAAAGGAATTACAATTAATTATATAATACACCCACTGTGTCTCTTGGTATCAATAATACACCCACTGTGTCTCTTGGAATCAATGATATACCCACTGTGTCTCTTGGTATCAATAATACACCCACTGTGTCTCTTGGTATCAATGATATACCCACTGTGTCTCTTGGTATCAATAATACACCCACTGTGTCTCTTGGTGTCAATGATATACCCACTGTGTCTCTTGGTATCAATGATACACCCACTGTGTCTCTTGGTATCAATGATACACCCACTGTGTCTCTTGGTATCAATGATACACCCACTGTGTCTCTTGGTATCAATAATATACCCACTGTGTCTCTTCACATCAATAATACACCCACTGTGTCTCTTGGTATCAATGATATACCCACTGTGTCTCTTGGTATCAATAATATACCCACTGTGTCTCTTGGTATCAATGATACACCTACTGTGTCTCTTGGTATCAATAATATACCCACTGTGTCTCTTCACATCAATAATACACCCACTGTGTCTCTTGGTATCAATAATACACCCACTGTGTCTCTTGGTATCAATGATATACCCACTGTGTCTCTTGGTATCAATAATATACCCACTGTGTCTCTTGGTATCAATAATATACCCACTGTGTCTCTTGGTATCAATAATATACCCACTGTGTCTCTTGGTATCAATGATACACCCACTGTGTCTCTTGGTATCAATAATATACCCACTGTGTCTCTTCACATCAATAATACACCCACTGTGTCTCTTGGTATCAATGATATACTCACTGTGTCTCTTGGTATCAATGATATACCCACTGTGTCTCTTGGTATCAATAATATACCCACTGTGTCTCTTGGTATCAATAATATACCCACTGTGTCTCTTGGTATCAATAATATACCCACTGTGTCTCTTGGTATCAATAATATACCCACTGTGTCTCTTGGTATCAATGATACACCCACTGTGTCTCTTGGTATCAATAATATACCCACTGTGTCTCTTCACATCAATAATACACCCACTGTGTCTCTTGGTATCAATAATACACCCACTGTGTCTCTTGGTATCAATAATACACCCACTGTGTCTCTTGGTATCAATAATACACCCACTGTGTCTCTTGGTATCAATAATATACCCACTGTGTCTCTTCACATCAATAATACACCCACTGTGTCTCTTCACATCAATAATACACCCACTGTGTCTCTTGGTATCAATAATACACCCACTGTGTCTCTTGGTATCAATAATATACCCACTGTGTCTCTTGGTATCAATAATATACCCACTGTGTCTCTTGGTATCAATAATATACCCACTGTGTCTCTTGGTATCAATAATATACCCACTGTGTCTCTTCACATCAGTAATACACCCACTGTGTCTCTTCACATCAATAATACACCCATTGTGTCTCTTGGTATCAATGATACACCCACTGTGTCTCTTGGTATCAATAATATACCCACTGTGTCTCTTGGTATCAATGATACACCCACTGTGTCTCTTGGTATCAATAATACACCCACTGTGTCTCTTGGTATCAATAATATACCCACTGTGTCTCTTGGTATCAATGATACACCCACTGTGTCTCTTGGTATCAATAATATACCCACTGTGTCTCTTCACATCAATAATACACCCACTGTGTCTCTTGGTATCAATGATATACCCACTGTGTCTCTTCACATCAATAATATACCCACTGTGTCTCTTGGTATCAATGATATACCCACTGTGTCTCTTGGTATCAATAATACACCCACTGTGTCTCTTGGTATCAATAATACACCCACTGTGTCTCTTGGTATCAATAATATACCCACTGTGTCTCTTCACATCAATAATACACCCACTGTGTCTCTTGGTATCAATAATACACCCACTGTGTCTCTTGGTATCAATGATATACCCACTGTGTCTCTTGGTATCAATAATATACCCACTGTGTCTCTTGGTATCAATAATATACCCACTGTGTCTCTTGGTATCAATAATATACCCACTGTGTCTCTTGGTATCAATGATACACCCACTGTGTCTCTTGGTATCAATAATATACCCACTGTGTCTCTTCACATCAATAATACACCCACTGTGTCTCTTGGTATCAATGATATACTCACTGTGTCTCTTGGTATCAATGATATACCCACTGTGTCTCTTGGTATCAATAATATACCCACTGTGTCTCTTGGTATCAATAATATACCCACTGTGTCTCTTGGTATCAATAATATACCCACTGTGTCTCTTGGTATCAATAATATACCCACTGTGTCTCTTGGTATCAATGATACACCCACTGTGTCTCTTGGTATCAATAATATACCCACTGTGTCTCTTGGTATCAATGATATACCCACTGTGTCTCTTGGTATCAATGATACACCCACTGTGTCTCTTGGTATCAATGATATACCCACTGTGTCTCTTGGTATCAATGATACACCCACTGTGTCTCTTGGTATCAATGATACACCCACTGTGTCTCTTGTATCTCTTTAATCCAATGTGTCTCATTCTTCTAGCAATTGACTAGTTTTTTTTTTGTGTAGCCCTACAACATTATGAAGATGGTTGGTACTTACTAGAGGCATGGCTGTTACTGGAGGTACGAGAGAAAGTGATGGTCGGGCGAGTCTGTACCTCCATGGCTGGCTGGGAAGGAGGAGGCTGTGGAGGAGAATTCTCCTTACTACCAACATCAGCCTTCAAATTCTGTGTTTGCCACTTATCCCTGCCCTGTAAAATATAACAAACACACTGCAAAGTCATGGAGCAAAAACTCTCCATCTTCACAAATAGACACAAATATTTTCATTAAGTTTCATGATACTTCCAATTTCTATAATTGTATTTCATCAGTAACTAAGTTTCTAAAGTAATCACATTCCTAAACAAGTGTTTTTCAGTACAGTTATTCACTAAAATCATGCCATAGTTATAGATAGTCTAACATCATATATCAATCAATGTTATCTAAAGATACGGCTGAATAACAAGCTAACAGATTGCTTGGGACCTTCTTATCTTAACCACAGTATTATGTGTCTCAAGCAGGGATTACCTGGGACTTTCTTATCTTAACCACAGTATCATGTAGCTAAAGCAGGGATTACCTGGGACTTTCTTATCTTAACCACAGTATCATGTAGCTAAAGCAGGGATTGCCTGGGACTTTCTTATCTTAACCTCAGTATCATGTAGCTAAAGCAGGGATTGCTTGGGACTTTCTTATCTTAACCACAGTATCATGTATCTCAAGCAGGGATTACCTGGGACTTTCTTATCTTAACCACAGTATTATGTATCTCAAGCAGGGATTGCCTGGGACTTTCCTAACCACAGTATCATGTAGCTCAGGCAGGGATTGCCTGGGACTTTCCTAACCACAGTATCATGTAGCTCAGGCAGGGATTGACTGGGACTTTCCAAACCACAGTATCAAGTATCTCAGGCAGGGATTGCCTGGGATTTTCCTAACCACAGTATCATGTAGCTCAGGCAGGGATTGCCTGGGACTTTCCTAACCACAGTATCATGTAGCTCAGGCAGGGATTGCCTGGGACTTTCCTAACCACAGTATCATGTAGCTCAGGCATGGATTGCCTGGGACTTTCCTAACCACAGTATCATGTAGCCCAGGCAGGGATTGCCTGGGACTTTCCTAACCACAGTATCATGTAGCACAGGCAGGGATTGCCTGGGACTTTCCTAACCACAGTATCATGCAGCTCAAGCAGGGATTGCCTGGGACTTTCCTAACCACAGTATCATGTAGCTCAGGCAGGGATTGCTTGGGACTTTCCAAACCACAGTATCAAGTATCTCAAGCAGGGATTGCCTGGGACTTTCCTAACCACAGTATCATGTAGCTCAGGCAGGGATTGCCTGGGACTTTCCTAACCACAGTATCATGTAGCTCGGGCAGGGATTGCCTGGGACTTTCCTAACCACAGTATCATGTAGCTCGGGCAGGGATTGCCTGGGATTTTCCTAACCACAGTATCATGTAGCTCAGGCAGGGATTGCCTGGGACTTTCCTAACCACAGTATCATGTAGCTCAGGCAGGGATTGCCTGGGACTTTCCTAACCACAGTATCATGTAGCTCAGGCATGGATTGCCTGGGACTTTCCTAACCACAGTATCATGTAGCCCAGGCAGGGATTGCCTGGGACTTTCCTAACCACAGTATCATGTAGCCCAGGCAGGGATTGCCTGGGACTTTCCTAACCACAGTATCATGCAGCTCAAGCAGGGATTGCCTGGGACTTTCCTAACCACAGTATCATGTAGCTCAGGCAGGGATTGCTTGGGACTTTCCAAACCACAGTATCAAGTATCTCAAGCAGGGATTGCCTGGGACTTTCCTAACCACAGTATCATGTAGCTCAGGCAGGGATTGCCTGGGACTTTCCTAACCACAGTATCATGTAGCTCGGGCAGGGATTGCCTGGGACTTTCCTAACCACAGTATCATGTAGCTCGGGCAGGGATTGCCTGGGACTTTCCTAACCACAGTATCATGTAGCTCAGGCAGGGATTGCCTGGGACTTTCCTAACCACAGTATCATGTAGCTCAGGCAGGGATTGCCTGGGACTTTCCTAACCACAGTATCATGTAGCTCAGGCATGGATTGCCTGGGACTTTCCTAACCACAGTATCATGTAGCCCAGGCAGGGATTGCCTGGGACTTTCCTAACCACAGTATCATGTAGCCCAGGCAGGGATTGCCTGGGACTTTCCTAACCACAGTATCATGCAGCTCAAGCAGGGATTGCCTGGGACTTTCCTAACCACAGTATCATGTAGCTCAGGCAGGGATTGCCTGGGACTTTCCAAACCACAGTATCAAGTATCTCAAGCAGGGATTGCCTGGGACTTTCCTAACCACAGTATCATGTAGCTCAGGCAGGGATTGCCTGGGACTTTCCTAACCACAGTATCATGTAGCTCGGGCAGGGATTGCCTGGGACTTTCCTAACCACAGTATCATGTAGCTCGGGCAGGGATTGCCTGGGACTTTCCTAACCTCAGTATCATGTAGCTCAGGCAGGGAGAATCAATATTCACAACTAATAAACCTATTTTATTCTGATCTAATCAACTAGAACTGTAAGTAAATGGCTTACACCAAACTACCTCAAGTATCCTCAAATAAAAGCAACATATCTGAACATTTAATGTCTAGCAAGGTCTGTGACAGGATTGATTCCAGGTACAATGTTTACATACTTCAAAATTAAGTCAATGCTGAGCATTATTCAAAAGGGATATAACTCTAAAAAGAACAGCAGGATTCATATTATACACAAGACAGTAAAAAAATTGTCCTACATCAAAAAATGATGTCTACTTAAATGACTGGTGTTCACTACTTACCAGTTTAGTTTCGGAGGCTTCTAGCCACTTAGCATCTTCCTGTAGCTGTCGCTGTTGTTGCAGCAGACGTTCCTCCAGTATTTTCGGGTCCACATCCTCATTATGGTTAATGTGTGCCCGTGGTACCCCCTCTGTGGTGTGGAAGTCAAAGTCCTACGGACACATAACATATACGGTAAGCATACACATTAACATTTTTTCTGAGATTTGGATTTTTTTAGCATGCACAGTCACCCATGGAAATTCAAAAAAATTTTGCACGTATGTCATTGATGAATGAACTGTAAACACTGAAATTCATTTGTAATCCTGACTTTGGTTATGGCAGGTTATATATTGTATAATATATTGCATGTAGGAAATTTTAAAAATCACATCACTCGAATCTTAATTGGAAAAAAGTTTGATGTATATCTTCAGTGCCTTTTTGATCGCAAAATGATGATATGGCTGAAATCTTTTAGTTAAGACACCAAACGTGCACTTGGTGGAGTAAAACTGCTACACATTATTCCTGTATAAAGAAACAATTGAAATACAAATATTAATCCTTTCAGATTAGGATACGCAAACACACCTCAGGTGAAAGCCTGGGGTCCATTGGAATATGGTGGTCTATCACAGCTGAGTTTCTTGGAGATGGCTTCTGGAACTGGTTACCGAGAATGTCCGACAGCTCATGGTGATTACGTGGCACATGATACCCAAAAGGCTTTGAGGAAGCCCCACCTCGGCGAGTAGGAAGACTGGCAGCCCCTGGGTCAGGGATGGCATGGATTGGCATGGCAGAGTCCATAGTACTCATACCCTGATGATGGTTGGTGGAGGAAGGCACAGAGGTATAGCCTGAGGAAGAGGGAAAGTAGTGCTGCAAATTTATTTCCGCGGGCAGCTGAGAGTTACGCAGCGTGGTGGGTTCAGAGGCTGGTGGAGGGTGGGTCTGAGGACTGAGGCCCTGCAGAGGCGTACTGTGGCCTACAGGAAGGTTGGTAGTGCTGTTCCACTGGTGTGGTAGACTGGACACACTGCTGTTGATGGCTAAGTTAGGCGTAGAGCCAGAGGGAGACATAGCAGGATACTGGGGACGAGCAGGTTTGGGGGGAGGCTCCTCAATGTCTGATCCACTCGACCCTATAACACACAATGTACCTGTCATAAGCATTCAAATTCCAAAGAAACAAAATAGCATTGACATCTCAACAAAAAAATAGTCTGATGTCAGTACAATTATGATTCAAGTTTCTGTATTTTCAAAAACTGAGGTCATGTTAACTATATATATATGGAGTTATTATAAGTCTGCAATATTTTAATGAAAGTTAGGTGATACATAGTATTGATTTCAGGATGACTTGTAAATAATTCTGACAATTTTACCTTTAAATCTAAACTAAGATCTTTTTTAAAAGTATCAAGAATTGGGGTTAGCTCCCTTTGTCTATCTTCTGCTGAAGGAATAGATTGAGTTTGTTTCATTGTCAACAAAATACTGAACACAAGATGGTTATGTGGTTCCTAAGATTTCATTACAATATGCTGATATTTTGTTGCTCCCCAAAGACTCCATCAAAAACAGGGAAACTTGTTATAGTGTCAGTGTTACAACAACTAGTGAATGAATCATGAAAATGGTGTCTCAAATGTTGTATTATAAAGAATCAGAATCTACTCAGACATAATGTTTGGCACACCATACTGAAGATATATCTAACTACATATATCACCCACTTTAAAAAATGTTGAGAAATACATTTAACTTCTCCCTGAAACTTTTTATTTGGTTTACGAACATTTTTAACTGCACACCATTACTGGCTGCAATAAACATCAATTAGAAACAATATTGGATTGTGGTGACAATATCACAGCAACAGATCCCAAGTAAAATTAATATTGACAGAATATGTAATATCTTGATATAAGTTTAAGGCTTTACAACAAAAATGTAGATATCCACAGTAGATGTATTTACTATACACCCCAGACGTTACCAATCACTCTACATTTGTATATTGGTATACTAAGGGGAACCCCCTTATACCACAAAACTGAAATTCTCATACAACAATATAAAGAAACATTTTGATAACTTTCTGTTATTTTTATTCTTTCAGTCTCAAAAGAATAGTTAAGTGTCTCAGAGAATTCATTGCTCAATATTCTTAATATTGATTGTATCAATTATCAATAATCTTTGATGAAACTTACATCCTGGTTTCTCTTTCAACTTCACTTTAACTGACATAATCTAGATTACCTGGCTCACATCCATGTGCAGTGGATATGGAGTTCTGTAGGGACAGTTTTAAACTTGGTCTCTTCTGGCTCTGCTTCGTGACAGACTGTCTTAACATCTTAACAACTGTTTAATACTTCCACTATGATTGTAACAGTCAAACATCCAACAGACAGGTAGGTAATTCCACATTAAGAATGAATTAATGTTGTTCACTGTTTCAGTATTGGGAATGTAATATTCTTCAATAATGTTGATGGCATATTGATATGGAGAGCGATATTAAAATATCTAACTGGCCATTCAAAGAAAATGGAAATATCAATACTGTTGTAACTGTTTCAATGTCACAACAGTAACAACAATAAACTGGACGATCTATTTTCCTTCTCCTCCTCGGACAAGATGAGTTAAAACCAAGAAACTGTTACAAATTGAAGTAACACTCATGTGCGGTGTCCTTTATCATACCAGTAAGTGGTTGTAGATTTTTGACCTTTGGTGACTTTTCTCAGTACCTAGTATGTAGAGCCTAAGGCCACAGGGTATCCCACAGACCACACCTTGACCACCTGTACATCTGTACACAAAGCACTCCCTTAAATAATATCATGTAGGGGGCATAATATCCATCAAAGGTCATGATGTATTAGGTACACAAGGGAACAGTGACATCCTTGTACGCACAATTGAAAATCTAAATGCACTCAATGTGATTTCCTGTCTATAACAGTCAATAAACATACATCAACACAAATATACATACTCCATGAGATTTCCTGTATCCTTCGATTATCTCGCCGCATCTCATCTTCCTGTCGACATCTCTCCTCCTCCAAGATCTCACTAGATCCAACACAAACATTAACCATTAAACAGAACAGAATTGCCATTCATATGGAAAACAAACATCCTCCTTAACACTTTTGTCTCTACATAGACAAGACAATTATGGGGCTAAAGAGAAATAGATTACTTTCACACAAAAATTTCCATTGAGCTCGGATCCACCTTTCAGTTGTCAACTAGTGTAATTATCTTAGTATTCATCTAAAAATAGCTAGAAACAAGCTGATCCAATCACATTCCTGCAGTCAGTTACACCATGTTTCATAAGCAAAATAAATTAAATACACATTTTTTCCCCTTCAATCTGATCCCCTGTTTGTATGTTAGTTGAGGCTGTTTACAGAAATGCCAGGACTCCAGCATACTTTGTTTTCATTGAATAAACAAAGAATCTAGCTTAAAGTAAAACTGTGGCCTAATTAATTGCTATTAACTACTGTAGCTTGACACAAAAGTTCTGGTATCATCTCAGTTGTAATATGATTATGTGATGTCATGTTTCACTACCACCAAGACTGATAGAATATTGTGGTGACTGCAGCGGCTTGCTCTGTGTAAACACTTAGAACACATCAAGTGTTGGCCGTTGTTCAACAAATACAAGTACACACACTTGTATACAATATGTAGTTCCTTATTCTGTATGATTCATGCTTCCTACAGCTCAAGGATATACCTAGATACCATTGTTGTAACAAGTAGGATGACCTACAAACCACCACGATGTTGGCATGGTCTTGATCTGATAACTTTTATACTTATAATAATCTACTTCCTAGTTTTGTTTTCTATATCATCAATTCTTATCAAGATTTGAAATTTTCCTTTGTCATCTTGTCTCACATTAATGACTAACTTTAATGCCATGTTCTTTAATATCGTTATAAAATAATGGAATTGTTTAAAATGTCTTAGATCTGTAATAAGGAATTACTTCCTACAAATCCTATATAGAAATGTCATGTGATGACCTTCGGGTTTCAGTCTTATCATAATGATGTAATTACAACATAAAGTGGAGAGGTTCCAGTCTACTTAATATCCTATCTTATCAAGTGCTCATCACCTCTCCTATGTCAACCTTTATCATTGAAAAAAATTAGGTTATCCATGAACATCATTAAAACTGAACTACGAAATAAATTATTTTGTTTGTGATTTTTAAAGATTTTGAAAGAAGACATTTATCTCTATACAGTTACTGCTGACTAAAAGGAAAGTGGACATGAAACAAAACTAACAGATAATGTGTCTTTAATATCAAATGCAAATACTAATTTTTTTTCTTTTCAACTTGAAATAAATGTACAAAGCATTACCACTAAGGTTACAATTAATCAGGTTAAAAAAGTTTTGAAATTCGATATTTCATATTTAAAAATATCTTTACAACAGTGAAGGTGCAATGCCAAAATTCACTGTAACCTGCTGTTCCTTTAAAACAAAGCTGAGTGTACTCATCACAGGTATATACTTTAAGTTAAATGAATTAAGAGTGAATCCTGTTTTTGAACTCAAGAAGTGTTTTAATTATTTACCTGCAGTTGCTTAGAACACAATGTTCATTTAAACATTACACTGATTTTTTTTGTCAACAGATACTTGAAGTTAAATTTAATAAAACGTCCTTCATCCATACTGTTCCTTCAAAGGCTAACCTACGTTACCCTTTTTGGGCACCATCCACCTTCCCACATGGAATCTACAACCTTTACTATACAATAACTGATTCAATTGTTTATTCAAGTTTATCCCATGATCATAGATAAATTTTAATTGATAAAGCAAGGAAAGTGTGATCTGAAATATAACTTATTTAACCAGGTCAGGTTATAAATTGTGAGAGACACATCTATTATGATTTAATATTAAATCTCACAATTACATGTCACTATCAAAATTATACTGATCAATTAAAAGTCTTGTGTGGGAAATACATGGTTTACTCACCAAAGAAGAATTTTCAGTTCAGCAAATGAAGGCCTCTTTGAGGGTTCATAGGACCAGCAAACACACATGAGATTGTACATTGAGGGTGGACAGCCAGGTGGAAGGGGAAGTCGTTCTCCATTCTCTATCTTTCCTATCACATCGTTATTCTTTACATGTTGGAATGGTTTGACTCCATACATTAGGATTTCCCAAATACACACACCTGTGACCAGAAAAATCTCAAATATAGTTTGTAAATGAAGAAACTACGAAGATATTTTCCATTTGATAAAACAATCTGACATTTCTCAAATATAACATGCCAACAAATTAAAACTCCAGGCTATTCCAGTTTGCTACTAATAATGATCAACCAATTATTAGCTTTATTATGACACTAAATAATATTTTAAAGATTTCAGTATTAAGAAAACATTGAAAATCAACATCAACATATCAATGCAGCTATCTTAAGATATATCGTAATATGTGCCCTCTCTTTCACAAATGTTGCTCAGTATAACACAGTTAAAGAACATCGGCAACTGGCAAATTAGCAAAAATGAAATTCTAACTCTATATGATCAAGAGGTTCATTCATAATCAGGAAATAAGATTTTAAAACTTCAACTTTTTACCTTCTTATGTATCTATATAACAGACCACTTACCAAACATCCACACATCACTAGCTGTAGTAAAGCGTCTAAAATTGATAGATTCTGGTGCCATCCATTTTATGGGCAGCTTTCCTTTGGAGGCTGAAAATAAGATCAATATACACATAAGTAGTGCAAATTTTTATGAAAATAGAAATTTTTCTGTTATGAAAATTAGCATAATTTTGCCAGGTTTTATTTCACAAACAAATCCTAAGCTACACATAAATTATCTTTGAACAGCTAATTCTGGTTCTTTGTCCATCATCATCAGATACTGTGTTTAAAATGCACTTTTCATTTCAAAGTATTTCAAACATTGTCTGGAATTCATCTGGAAATCCTATATTAGCACAGTGACAACTTTATCTGTCACCATAATCGGTGATAATGAATAGTCAATCTATATTTGTCACGATCAATGCAACCTAATTACATTGATTTCCCAATACTGGTGAATATTACAAAATACCATTGATTTATTTTTATCACAATGTCACTTTTTCCTATGATTGAGAAGATATCTAGTCAATAAATACTAAAATAATAATTACATGTGACAGAAAATAGGCAACAGGAAATACTGAACAAGTGTTTCCTGCCTTCAACACATGTAACGAAAGATTTCAGAAATGATAGCGGTACCTTTCTCTATATATTCTGTTAGCAGTCTTGCGTCAATTCACATTAGCAACAAAGAGGATTTTTTCTGTTTATTAGCACAATTATGTAGGTCAAATAAGACTGTTGGAATCAAATGTCATACAATAGGAAAACAGTACATAATACATATGTACACCATCAACAGTACAGCATGAGAACAATACATAATACACCATCAACAGTACAGCTGGGAATCAATACATAATAAGATGGAGGTGTAAGTGATAGACAGGACTGAACAACAGATTTCATTAGTTACACTGTTATATCTGCCATCTGATGTGTTTATATAATTAATATTTAGGGTATGATGACAAAACTTTATGGCTCAATGTTAAAGATAGGCCAGCTGATGAAATATCATTTGTTAACGATTCTACACAACATGATAGAATCGGCTCAATACTAGGCACAGGTTAATTTCCTCTACCACAGCCACTTTTACACACATACTCACCTTTATAGTAACTTTGTTCCTCTACCACCCGTGACAGTCCAAAGTCAGCAAGTTTAACACAGTCATGTGAAGACACTAAAACATTCCTAGCAGCTATGTCCCTGGTTACAAATAAATATTCAATAATCTATTTAATCAACTCTGCTCTCAGTATAGAGCTCTGCATGCTTTACATTTTTTCCTATGTTAACTACAGAGTCAATAATTTTATGATAACTAAGAAAAAAATATTCTCTAAACATCTTCACAATTTGCCAAGAAATAGAGAGGTGGTATTATTTAAAGTAACACAGAGCTGTCATAAATAACTTACCTGTGGACAAATTTTTTACTTTCTAAGTAAGACAATGCTGTACAAAGTTGACAGGTGTACAGAATTAAGGTACATAGGTCTAGAAGGTGTGCATTCTTCTGTAAATAGGCTCTCATCTGTAACAGAAATGTGTACAAGTTTCTCAAAAATGAATCTGAATCAATGACCAAAAAAAGTCATTTTCTTTTCAAAAATTGAATTTTTTAACGTGAACATCAATGGATTATTTAAGTAATGAACGAGTTTACTTCTTTACATCATTGAAGTATGTCATTGATATTAGAGAGGAATTGGGCTCTTTAGTTTTCCCCTGAACCAGTACAGTGAATGTAATGTATTAAACAATGCAGTTACCTCCCCATGTTTGGCAAGTTCCATCACGATCCAGACTGGCCTTGTCTCCGAACAGATCCCAATAAGGTGTATAATGTGAGGGTGGTCAAACTGCTGCATGATCACTATAACATTCACAAATGAATCATGAAATGTCTTATACGCAATGCTAAAAAATCATCTCAACCAGAGAATAAAATTCTTAAGTGGAAATCTATCATACTGTGGATTTTCAATTCAAATAAAATTATGACATCCACCATTAACCCAGGAATCAAATTAATATCAATGATACATTCTGCATCACCTTTGACCTTGCATTAACCTTGACCTACTTACATGCTTCCTCCAAAAACTTCTCTGTCATGGATTCTTCATTATCCTCCTTACACGTTTTCACAGCCACTGCTACAGTCAGTCCTTCCTACACGTAAAACATCAAATTCACACACAATGACTGACTGTCAATCATTTCTTACCGCATAAGACTCTCTGATGCTTAGAAATGAGATCTGTTAATCAACACATATTCTGAGTACAGTCAAACCAAATTATACTGAAATCCCTGAGGAATGGATACATACTGCTAATTAACCAGCTTTCGATACAACTGTACTATATTCTTCTCTAGCTACTTTAGATATCTGAAATCAACCTAAATCAGAAAGTGATGACTGGGGTTGTAATAAATATATTGATACCAGAGATTGAAATAATTTTAAAGATCATATAGAAGGTGTTAATTGTGGTGTAACAAAATGGTTATATACACAAAAGCCTTAAGTACATGTCCATGCCTTAAGTACATGTCCATGTTGATGGTACATGTCCATGTTGATGGTACTATAACCACTGCAATAAGAGTTCAGACTAACCTTGTCTATGTAGACACCCTTATGGACATCTCCAAATTGACCTTCTCCTAGCACCTCCTGTAGTTTAATTGCATCCCTCCGCAACTCATAGTCTCGAGCTGTTAACACACCACATATACACTAAATATTCATACAAGACAAATTCTATCTAAAAATTCATTGTTTCTATGAGAAATTCTCAAGCAGCTGCATTTTATACAGATTCAATAAATGTGGGTCTGAGAACTCTCATGTAAAAATCTTAAGTGTTTCTACATTATCTATGTAAAAGGGAAGAAAAACTGAAAGACATTCAAACTAGTATATATAGATCCTCTGGTTAACAAGTCATGTTTTTAAAATACACTCAAGAATTATTGAATATTCACAATTTTTCACAACAAATGTTCTGCCTACTTGACTTTTAATTAAAATTTGCCCATATATAATATACTCTAACACACTGTATACATACATAGTAGTATTTCTTTTGATTCTACTATTTTCCTAATACATTAATATATATGTTCTGGTCCATATGCAATTTCTCATTCAAAGAAGAAAATAAAATGGACATGAAAATAATCATTGGTCACAGCTGTAAATTCATCCCGTTTCTATGCAAGAAATATATTTCTTCTGTACATATGTTAAGCATGAATTCAAAACAATGACCCCCCCACCCCTTTCTATATTTTGCCCATATTTTTGTTAAATCTATATATCATGGCCTTCACATCACAAGTATGACACATACATGCAAGCAATTAGCTGTCATTATCTGCCTTTTATTACATCACAAATCTGCCTTCAAAATCTTAATAAATATACCAGGAAATCCAAATATTGCTTGCATCTTGAAGTTTCTATCAATTCAGAATCTGTGCATTTTGTCAACGACCCTAACATGCAGATTTTCACCTCAGATTACGTAGGCATACTGAACTATAGTAGCCCTATTTCATTCTTCTAACTGTCTCTCATTATAACCACAGCTTAATACAAAGTACTATTTATATCAACACTGTGAATCAGTTCCTTTAATTGAGGGTCAGTTATAACAGGGACTGCCAATATCACTTAACTATATGCTTTAGTAGTAAACTTCAAAAGAAACTGGTATTTTATTGAGTAAGTTATACTTATATATCATGGTCTATTTACTTATCTATCCCCGACACTTCACAGCAGTACAAGCCATGCAAAGTACATACAGTCAGTTATATCTATTTCAAATTTTCTTACCAACACATAAGTTTAATACCATATGATACAAGATGGGATATGTAGGTTACCAGTGCAGTGTGTAAGTTCCATCCACTCAATATATTACTTATATAAAGTCAGTATAATGTTGTCTAAAGACATCAGCTACATGTAGATGCTCTTCCAATGATACAGTGGTATATGTAGCCACTGGTGATTAAAGATACCATATTTATCTGCAAATAAGCCCCCATTCATTAATAAAGCCCTTTCTTCACCATTTTATAATCATCAATTTTAAAATAGTAAGCTAAAATTACTTCACTATTAAGTCCTCCCCAATCTTTAGTAACAAAACTTATTACAAGGGGAGGGGGCTTATTTGAGGGTAAATATGGTGTAAGACAAGCTTGTTTTATACTGGCGATAGAATTTCATGTCTGTATCACATGCATGTCAAACTGACAAGACAATTCTAAGTCAGCGCCACCTTATACCTACCAATGTTGTGACAAGATTGATTATATTAGAAGGACAAAGGCTTGGAGTATTAAGATTGTTTCGTATCATTACTGTCGAGCTGATACATTGTCCATTAGATAGAACAAGGACACATATTTAATAGCACAACATGGATACAACAGAAAATATACATACTACATACCGGAAATTTACGGTATTATAATAACAGGCACACACTGCAGGAAAGCAAGGCCAAGCATAGGATAGACAGCAGAAATATATAATACATTTCTCAACAACAAGGGTTCACAACTCATCATTCCATACAAGATCACAGCAGAAGTATTTACAATTCTCAATGACAAAGGCACACAACTCATCATTCTATATGTATGTTAACTCGGCTGGAGGTACATCAAGTCCTTTATAGAGATGGTCAATTTCTTTCTGATTTTATGCATGATATATGATAATTCCATTTCCAACAAATCAATGTTTAGCCATCCAGAACATGTTATACCAGTATAATACTGGTCATCACTACAGTGAAAGTCAGATCTAATGGTCACACATGCTCCTCTGTACAGGTCAAGGCCATTCATTCTCAAGGACACTCACACTTTTTCTTCTTCCGTCGGCTGCCATACTGGCCTACAGGACCACCAAACAGATTATATTATATATCCGTAAACAGAAATCGGGCTGGTGGCTGTACACAACTCAACACAATATTTCAACAACTTGAACAATTTAGCCCAGATAAATGCTGGAAAGATATATTGTAATACTTTCTCATTAAATTTGATCAATAACCACACATCAATCTTGATATTAGGAATCATAACATTCTAGCCTGAAATATGTACTAAGTCTATCATTGACAGTGAGTGATTCAAGTTATAGACTTTCATTTGCACCCGATTAGAAAACAGAACATCTACAAAAATCAGCATGGGCTTAACCTTATACATTAACTTTTATCCTGTAATTATTCTGTCTCTTTGGAAAATAACAAAAGTATGAGAGAGAAAAAACAGAAGATTCAAAGAAACTGCATTAGAAAGACACGTTACAACAATATCTATGTATATATACTGGCATCTTAAGTACACAATACTTTTATATATATGTATACCACTAGATTAAACAATACCACCAGATTATACAATATACACAGATGAAATTTCAGAGGCAAAGCAGGAAAACAGGAAAATCTGTCATGAATAAAAATGTTTGTTCTGGCTATTTTATTGTCCCATTTAATAGCCTTTTCAATTTATTTATTCAATACAAGCTTATCAAATAAAAGGAATTGCAAATATGTTTCATTCAAACAGAAATAATTTTTTGATAGGGTGAACACCTCAATTGATTTGTTATCCTGCTTTGTCTAATGGGGAGTGATTATGTAACATATGTACATGGACAGACATGACCAGTTTAGATATGTTTAGTGGAATCAGTATTCTTGTTTTACCTGCTGGGGTACTGTAGTCTCCTTCATCCTCTACTATCTCTGCATAGTCTGATATCCCTGTTAAATACACAGAATCTCAAATGAACCTTCAATACATAGTTTGTAGTGGACAGTATTTTTCTTACTGTGACAAGCTTATAGAACCCCTATTACAATCTCAACTTTCATCGTTTAATGATCATAAAATGGACAGGTTCTATCAAGAGACAGAGAGGTTCTCATAGCGTTTGTGCTGATCAAAATCAAACAGACACAACAAGGGACCAATGGGGCCCTACATATGAAATAAGAATCTATGCTGCAGTTCACAAGAAATAGCGATAAAAAACTTTCAAAATAAAAATCCAAGATGGCCTGTCAGCCATATGAATTTTGAGAAAGGTCCATCCAGTATTTCTCGAGAAATAGCAATAGCATATAATTGTTTGCAGATGGACAGACTATGGACCATGTACATAGGGCAGCTTCAATAAGGAAAACAAAGAAATTCTCGTACCATTTACAACAATCAGGAAACGGTCAGCTCTACGACAATTGTAAAACAGAATGGTTCTCATACCACTAACTTCCACTACAATCAGGAGACAGAATGGTTCTCATACCACTAACTTCCACTACAATCAGGAGACAGAATGGTTTTCATACCACTAACTTCCACTACAATCAGGAGACAGAATGGTTCTCATACCACTAACTTCCACTACAATCAGGAGACAGAATGGTTCTAACACCACTAACTTCCACTACAATCAGGAGACAGAATGGTTCTCATACCACTAACTTCAACTACAATCAGGAAACATAATGGTTCTCATACCACTAACTTCCACTACAATCAGGAGACAGAATGGTTCTCATACCACTAACTTCCACTACAATCAGGAGACAGAATGGTTCTCATACCACTAACTTCCACTACAATTAGGAGACAGAATGGTTTTCATACCACTAACTTCAACTACAATCAGGAGACAGAATGGTTCTCATACCACTAACTTCCACTACAATCAGGAGACAGAATGGTTTTCATACCACTAACTTCCACTACAATCAGGAGACAGAATGGTTCTCATACCACTAACTTCCACTACAATCAGGAGACAGAATGGTTCTCATACCACTAACTTCCATTACAATCAGGAGACAGAATGGTTCTCATACCACTAACTTCCACTACAATCAGGAGACAGAATGGTTCTAACACCACTAACTTCCACTACAATCAGGAGACAGAATGGTTCTCATACCACTAACTTCCACTACAATCAGGAGACAGAATGGTTTTCATACCACTAACTTCCACTACAATCAGGAGACAGAATGGTTCTAATACCACTAACTTCCACTACAATCAGGAGACGGAATGGTTCTCATACCACTAACTTCCACTACAATCAGGAGATAATAATGGTTCTCATACCACTAACTTCCTCTACAATCAGGAGACAGAATGGTTCTCATACCACTAACTTCCACTACAATCAGGAGACAGAATGGTTTTCATACCACTAACTTCCACTACAATCAGGAGACAGAATGGTTCTAATACCACTAACTTCCACTACAATCAGGAGACGGAATGGTTCTCATACCACTAACTTCCACTACAATCAGGAGACAGAATGGTTCTCATACCACTAACTTCCACTACAATCAGGAGACAGAATGGTTCTCATACCACTAACTTCCACTACAATCAGGAGACAGAATGGTTCTCATACCACTAACTTCAAGTACAATCAGTCAGCTTTCCACAATTTGACTCAATGTTATTATTTGCTACTTACGTTCATTAGAACCATTATTGTGAGATGATTTCCCATGGGTTCCCGTCTTCTCTAATCTGTAAATGAATTTAAATACAGGTATGTTACTTCAGCCACATAAATGACAACATTAAAAAACTCAGAACATTGTGAAATGTTGACAGAAACTTTTAAACTATAAAGTCCTTGTCTACATTACATTGATGACTGTCTTCAATTGATTTCAACTTGAATTTAATTGAATAGTTTTATCAGCAAGATACAGATTCTAAATAAAGTAAATTACACTCCTGAAGTAAAACACTAACCCAAATAGAAACTTGAACACAGATTCCATGAAAGATGTCTGCGTATCCCGGGAGATATTGGGGTCCCATGTGTATTACATCTATCACATATTTATTTCTGCAGGCTGCAAGTTTTAATTTGTGGCCAGGGTCACATCACATTAATTAGCCATGACTAACACACAGTAGATCCTAACTCTAAACCCCTAGTGTTTAAACGTACAAAACAGGAAATGGCTTCTATGTGCTAGTAGTGAGAAAACTATGCTGACCCCTCCTCCACCTCCACCCATCCCCACAGAAGGTCAAAGTCATCATGACTAATGCTTTACAGAAGATCCTAATGAATTTCTTTAAAGTAATATTTTAAAGTTAAACTCAAAGATATTTAAAGCTGGTTACGTATGAGCTGTTGTGGTCTTGTCAGCTGCCTGAGAAATTAAAAACACATTGACTGCTGTTTAGCTTTAAGTATGTTATGCAGTGATCAAAAACACATGTTAACATAATTTCATTATGTGGTGTCACTTACCCAAGGGAAGGCAATCTGGGAATATTTTCACCTGAAATATACAAAGTCATGTTTGTAACCATGTGATGATATGCGAGGTTATAATATGTTACATAATCAAAACAAGATGTTTTATAAAAAACTTACCAAACATCACCAGGTTTAAGTAATTGTAAATAGTACAGTATAATGTGTTTGGTGTACACAGGATTAATAATGCTATCTAATAATATAGTGATGCAGTGTACTGTTATTTTCCACAATTTCACCAGTAGTTATATACTATAAGTTAACCTACTATCAGGTATAAATACATGTATAGTATTGTATTTTAAAATTGCATTGGTGATAATGACCAAAAAAACAAGACAAAATTATCCAACAAACAAACACAAAGAAAAGTTTAATAAGTATAAAAGATGTATTATCAAGATTCCAGAATCACTTAAGGCTGAGATTGGAGTACTATTTCTGCTGTTGTTAGCTAGCCAGCCACAAATAACACTTATCAATGAACTTCACATAGTTTTATCATGATACAGAACTCCCATCCTTGTTTTTATATCTTAAACATCAGAGCTAAGAAAGTCTGCTAATTAAATCATCTCAACACCAGTCATATCTATCTATTTTTTTAAATATACTTATATCTTTGCATCAGTGGTATCAATTTCACTTCTGACTTCCAATAAACATTTTGGTGATACAAGAGAGATGTATACTATATAATGTTGGGAGATGTTAATGTATATTCCATACAATTTTTATTGACAGCCTTCACAATGAAATATTTCACATTCCTCTAATTACATACCAATTCACACAAACTGTTTGTTTTCTTTTAATGAATTAATTCAAATGTAATCAAGTGTGTAATGTACTGTTGTTATTTTTCTCACTTTATCAAAATGTAGATTATTACTTAATAATCAACACTGATCTTTTTCATTTATATTTAAGAGATATTTTTCAAATAAAGACAAATATTTCCAAAGAAATGTGATGATACCATGGGTAATGAATTTCTGATTAAATATTAAATTCTATCCCATCCATCATGCATAGGAATCCTAAAAATATATGACACATTTAAGTTCATTGTGTATTTACATCTATATCTCACACTTCTACAGGAAATGACATCTAGGCTATATATATATACGACATGAAGGTGAGAAATACAATCTTTATGCTAGTAAATGATTATACAAGCAAAATTTTTTTCAAGTGATCACCATTAATTATAACCATATGCATCTATGTCCATTATCTTATCTTGTGCCTAACATCAAATTCAGAGTCACACACACATCAACATGACTAATGTTCAAGTCCAAAATTTCGTCTTTTGTTTGATGTCTGAGCTAAAATACAATCTTATGTCCGATGTTAGTTTCCTAAATACTATCTTATGTCCGATGTTTGTGTCCTTAATACTACCTTATGTCTGATGTTGGAGTCCTAAATACTATCTTATGTCTGATGACCAAGTCAAAATAAGAGCTTATGTCTGATAGTCGAATCCCTGATGTATGTATACGGTAATCTTATGTCTGATAGTCGAATCCCTAATGTATGTATATGTTAATCTTATGTCTGATAGTCGATTCCCTAATGTATGTATATAGTAATCTTACGTCTGATAGTCGAATCCCTAATGTATGTATACGGTAATCTTATGTCTGATAGTCGAATCCCTAATGTATGTATACGGTAATCTTATGTCTGATAGTTGAATCCCTAATGTATCTATACGTTAATCTTACGTCTGATATCAGTGTTCTAAAACAATCTTGTGTCTGATAGTCGAATCCCTAATGTATCTATACGTTAATCTTATGTCTGATGTCAGTGTTCTAAAACAATCTTGTGTCTGATAGTTGAATCCCTAATGTATCTATACGTTAATCTTATGTCTGATGTCAGTGTTCTAAAACAATCTTGTGTCTGATAGTTGAATCCCTAATGTATCTATACGTTAATCTTATGTCTGATGTCAGTGTTCTAAAACAATCTTGTGTCTGATAGTTGAATCCCTAATGTATCTATACGTTAATCTTACGTCTGATATCAGTGTTCTAAAACAATCTTGTGTCTGATAGTTGAATCCCTAATGTATCTATACGTTAATCTTACGTCTGATATCAGTGTTCTAAAACAATCTTGTGTCTGATAGTCGAATCCCTAATGTATCTATACGTTAATCTTATGTCTGATGTCAGTGTTCTAAAACAATCTTGTGTCCAAGTCTGAAATATTATCTTCATCTCATATTGAAGTCCAAGTTTTAAATGTTATCACATCTCACATTCATGTCCAAGACAAAACCTTGCTTCTTTCAGATACCTATAGTATAATATTGGATGAAAACTGGATGTTTCATACTTCAATCCTTAGCAACACTATGTAATCCTGCACTGTCAGTAAATTATCATTTTTCATATTTTGTAAAATCATTTCAATTTTAACATGTTTGGTTGAAATAAATTTGATATGTGCTAAAACATCCATCAAGGTTGTAATATCACTTCAGATAAGATTCAATATTAATAAAACAAGAACAAAATTTGTAACTATAAAAGTAATTCATGTGTTAATATATCAACTCTAAACACACAAATTAACGGTGAATTTGATTAAAAACTCTTGAGTAGGAAACTTGGTGAGGGATTGACTTTGTGGTGAAGGAAATGAAACACTTAGAACTTCTCAAATGTGACCAGTACAATATACTGACTTTCCTTAATAAACTAATGAATCAAGGTTATCATCAGATTGATGGCCTATACATGCATAAAGAGGTAACCTCAATCTTAGCTTCAACTGTTTACAATAAAATAAACATTTACTGACAGAAGATGTAGGTGTATCTACCCAGAGTAATTCTACACACTGATTTCTGTATCAAGGTTAAATGTGTTCATGTGAAAACTTTATTAGCTGTTAGATAATGACACTGATACATTTGTGTATAGACTTATTATATATTGTTAATTAAAAAATAACATCACATACATCTCTAACATATCTAATATGATAAAATATAATATAAAATAGACAATTATATATTCATATTTTTTTTAATCAAAATGAATATAGAATATCAACATTACTTATTAAAGATATGGCCTCGACTTTCTCAAAATTGTTGGAAATTTAAGTATAAGAAAAAATTTTACTTTCTTTAAATTTATATTTTGCGAATCTTTTTGACTTTCTTTAAATTTATATTTAGCGAATCTTTTTGTATAACTACAAACCAAGGTATATGAGTATAACATGACACAATCAGTTTAGATATATAATACTCACACATGCTAGTGATAAACATGGTAGAATGACCCAGCCACACTCTGATATACTAGTATAAGGCTACAGGTGTTAGCTGGAGTAAAACCCATCTGCTTTTACTGACATTAAATAAAGAATCTGTACAACTATCTTTATTCTAGCTCAGAAACAGAGAGCAAGTAATCCTGAAATATTTTCATTTTTTCTTCAAATCTAAATCAAATGGAATAACTTAACTTGTAGTACAGATAATCACATTTATTTTCACTAATTTAGAGTATTTAAATAATTCTTGCATTTAATGCCACAATGCTTCTTTTTGAATATTTCAAAATCATTTATTTGAACTACAGACATTTGGGCAAACATGTAGACAAATAATTAAAGGAGGTGTTTGTGGAGGATGGGCCAGAGAGGCTGACAGACAGGTTTTACAAAGACACCAGGTACAATGAAACACAAGACATGCAAGGAAAACCAACACTGGTAAGGTAGGGAGAATTGGTGACAACAAACCTCTGAGATCTAAAATATTCAGATTCTCCTCAACAGACGACTTCCAGTCTGAGAGAGCTACAAAACAGTCCAAGGGGGGTAACTCAAATTCATTCAGATCTAGTGTTAAATCTTTTTACCAAATAAATAAACTGTAAATTAATTGACAAATTCAATTTCAAATTAATACTGTATTTCAAATGTTTCCTGAAGAAAGTTTAGATGTAGTCAATTGATTTTTATTTAAATTTCAAATTTAATCAAGAACTTTAAACAACAAAACTACAGCATATACTATACTGATCTAAAACACAAGGAAATCCAGAAATCAAAAATAAAATCAAAATTAAGATTAAAGAATAACATTTAATTCCCACACATCATATTTCAAGGTATTGAACATGTTTTGAAAGCCTAACAAAGTGAACCTAACTTCACTGTTTGGAACCTCTGAAATGAGCTGGCCGGGGCATTATGAAATAAACTTAAACCTCTGCTATAACACCATTTTCTGGCAAAACAAAATATTTTTTTTATGGAAAGTATTACAAATTAAAAAATTATTAGTTAAATTTCATAAATTTGATTTTAATTTGATTTTTGAGTTGAAAAATACAAATAACATTCAAATTTTCATATCAGCTTAAAATGTTTCATAATTTCTGCAAGGCTAGCACGAGCCAAACTACATTTTTACAGGGGCTGGAATACAGCCAGTGATGGACACTCACATCTCTTGGTCCAGAGGGAAGTTGTTACATTGTGAACCAGGCGACAGTATCCATCCATCAAGTTGGCCATGTCCTCCGCTTCGTCAAGCGTACTACAGATAATGGTTAGTGCCTCTGTCGCCCCAGCAATCTTGATTTGCAAAACACCCTTGTTGTCAGGTGTAGCATTGGTCTGGATAGACTGGACCTGTGCAAAGTCAGCCATGTGTGTTGGCTGTAAAAACAAGAACAGTATATGTAGCATTGTTTTCAGCAACCTACAAAACCTTAAACACAACATTTTACCATAAAAATCCCAGTACTTTATTTATCATAAACACAAGTGCTTTTAAGTACAATAAATTTCCAATCCACTAGCTCATTTTTTAGTTTATTTGAGTTTCTGCAACTCTTTACATGATATGGGTTTTCTTTTTTTTTTCTCTTTTTTTGACACTGAAAAAAAGTTGCATTGTGTTATATGTCGTCTACACAAAACAACAATCTACCGATAACACTGGAGTTTCTAATGTTAAATTTTATATTTAGGCACAGAACAATTAGAAATCAGCAAATTAAGACACATGATTGTTAAAAAGACATCTTTGAATTGTGTTGGTATGAAGAGAAGTTATCCAATGTTCTGATGATACTCAACTTACCGATGAGGCCTTCTCCGTGAGGTAGCTTATTCCTACTTCTGGTCCTATGACTATCTCCATGGAAATACTCCAGCCCGACTGTAACACAGACTCCATGTTACAGCAAACTGGACACATCTTTATCAAATTAATTAATCATCCTTCCTACTTCTGCTTTGATTTCAGACCAAGCAAATTAATTTTCTTACTTTTCATTAATATGATTTGTCATGAAACTAATGCAATGAACTTTATATAAAAACTTAAAGATATTCTTCCTTTACAACAAAAGTTATATTCTCAAATAACAGGTAAATTTTAAATACTTTTTTTTTTAATTTAAATCGTCCCTTCAATTGCAAACTTGTTTGTATCAATTTCCTTCAAGGGTACAATTTTAATTTTCCCAAAACCACAGACAACTTACCCCTAAAGCACAATTAAACCGTTCCTGCTCAAACTTATACACTGTCTTCAATGTTTCAAAAAATTTATAAACACATTCATTCTCCGTCAGTTGTGCATACTGTTTGAAATGGAACTGTATCAACTTTCGGAGGGTCTTGGACTATAAAAACAGAAATGACGTAATCTCAGAACTCGCAGCATCTTGAAAATGTTAAGAATCTCTGGTTTTGTATTTGACTTCTATTTCATGAGGTACATCATCAGTGGGGGGGGAATAAATTGAGAGAGAAGGGAGGGCAAATAAATGTCAGATAATTTTTATCTATGCATAAATGGTTAAGTCTGATATTTACACACCGTGTGGTCAGTTAATAATACATGTATCATTACTCCATTCTTCAATATTTATAGCTAAAAACTATAAAATCATACATTTTTATGGGACTCAAATTTTGTGGTTTCTCAAAAATATGCATAATTGCACTTAAATTGTTGGATACGTCTTACTCATTAAATCCACTAAAGTTGATGTCAATTTTAATCTGGTTATTATTTCATTGACATATGAATTTCAGATTAACAATAACCACAAATTAAAGAAAATAAAACCCTCAAGAAAATGTGAGAAAATGTCCCTTCAGCAGGATTTAAATATCATGTTACACAAGAATCTGAAATTGTGCAATACTAACTTTATTTCCCATTCTATTCTTACAAGGAAAACTTGTAATAATATGATAGAGCTGTGAGTATTGTTGATCTCGAATAGAACTGAACGCTAACTCAACCCAGCTCTTTAATCAATCTTTTCTACATAAAACCACTCATTTTATTTCACCTTCATTGTTTCTGTCACAGACTTGGGCAGGAATCTTTTGAAGCCCACTTCCTTTTCTAGACACTCGAAATTGGACTTCTTATCCAGGGCAGCCTGTGGCATGTCCTTAAAGAATCTCCTGAAAGTCAGAATAGATAGGTTAACCTATCTTAGGAGCATTATTAGCAAAGAACAGTGTCACAATAACTCAATGTCACAGGACATTGTCACAATAACTCAATGTCACAGGACAGTGTCACAATAACTCAATGTCACAGGACAGTGTCACAATAACTCAATGTCACAGGACAGTGTCACAATAACTCAATGTCACAGGACAGTGTCACAATAACTCCATGTCACAGGACAGTGTCGCAATAACTCCATGTCACAGGACAGTGTCACAATAACTCAATGTCACAGGACAGTGTCACAATTACTCAATGTCACAGGACAGTGTCACAATAACTCCATGTCACAGGACAGTGTCGCAATAACTCCATGTCACAGGACAGTGCCAAAATAACTCAATGTCACACAACAGTGCCACAACAACTCAATGTCACAGGACAGTGTCACAATTACTCAATGTCACAGGACAGTGTCAAAATAACTCAATGTCACAGGACAGTGTCAAAATAACTCAATGTCACAGGACAGTATCACAATAACTCAATGTCACAGGACAGTGTCATAGACAAATCTAAAGTATAGATGAATATAACATTTTATTAGAATTTTTATATTGCAGATTAAAACTTGTACATTGTACAATATGTATATGATGTATATACAATGTGTATACCAGGTACACACCAGATTCAACTTAGCCAACTTACAAATGTACATATGGTACCAGTAAATTGTGTTTGGGAAGCTGAATTGGAAAAATGTGGTAAATTATACATGTTGAGATGGTGCCATTTAGATGTGTTTAGGTTGAGAACTGGTGTAAATAACCATTACTTTAAGGGTGTGACACAGAATATAGCGCTGTTCATCGCAGGGAATCTCATTAATGACTAGCTTCTGTAAGCAAAAGAGATTCTCAGGCTGTACTTCTGCACTAAACAGCATTAGTCCAGCTCATTGTATTTATTTCATCATACCTCAGCAACACTGACAATATCTGTGACGTAATCAACAATACACCAGCAATTTTTCCTATACTGATGACATGGACAGTTGTGTGAATTATGGCATAGTCAACACCACATACGCATGAGTGTTATGGCAATAAATGTTAACACTGATAGGAGTTATATTCAATCATGAATTTTATAAATGACGACCCAGGGATTTATATCAATACTTAAGTTTGCCTTTATTGATCTTCATATTGTAAGTGGGATTACTCAAATATAAGCAAATTTCAACCAATTCATTTTTTTTTTTCTTTTATAAAAAAAAAAAAAAAAACATGAAATATGAGGTCTTGATTCTCAACAATTCATCAATATATGTAGAATGTGACTCATATATTACCTCATCTCTATACAGCCCAGTCTTATTGCAATGTCAGCCTCCAAGTGTTCTGCTATGTCCCTCATGTAATCATTTCGTACCTACAAAGTAAGACGCATTGTTTTATTGTTCTGTAAATCAACTTTATAGCCAGCTCTTTTTTCCCCAAGAGTTTCAAGCTCCACTGACCAATGCAAAACCTCCTGTCAGGAGATTCAATGTGTTCAGAGCTTCAAGTCTCATAAAATAATATTTATAGACCATCTATAAGACAAACCATTACCCAACAGAAAGATGCTTAATTCTGCTTCTACAGGTGGAAATCAGGAGTATCCTCCTAATTAGTGAGGACTGTCAATTATGCTCCAAAGTCTCATCTAATTAAACTGCATACATAATCTCAGACTTGTTCTCAAAAAATCAACCCAATGTCCAACACCTAGCCCAAAGACTCAAGACTCCATCTCATAGACAAATTTTTAAACTTACCCCATATTTACACCTAAGGTATTAAAAACTTCACACTAAGCACGAAGTCTTATAGTAAGTATACTTCATATACTTTGAAAGTGGAAGCAGAATCCAATAGGATTTATTTGTCAAAAAAATCTGAAAACCTTTTAAGCACAAAAAAAGAAGAATAGGCATCATGAGAGCTAATACAAAGGAGGTAAACAGATTCTATTACTATCTCTCTGATTCATTACTGTAGCAGTGTCAACCCTCTGTGACATAACACACTAGTGAGTACAATTAATTTTCACAATATATATCCTGTTGTTTTCTAACCCCCCCCCCCCCCCCCCTTGTTTTTCTCGGGAATATAAATACCAGTATGATGTTACTATGAGGGAGTACTTCAGAAAGGAAGTTTCCTCTTTGTCATAATGGATCTACCACTAGAAGACTTCAGCTTCTGACTCAGTGTGTGTAATCGTTAAACAATATGTCTGATCAGTCTACTCATTACACAGATAAATCACTCCGTACAATTACAGGATTCAGGTTTCAAACAGGAAGCGATGAGCTCATACATGGTGAAAAAAACAAAGTCTATTGATGAAATAACAGTTCAATACATCTGTCAATTTTTATAAACAGTTAAAAGATATTACTCCAAGATAATATGCTTGTGCTAAAAAAAATCGACAACATTCTATCTTAAGTAAAGGATTAAACATGAAATTCTCTGTAGAAAAGGATTTTCTTACTAAGGTTATTCTAACGTCTTTTAAACAAAAATAATTCAAATGATGTAATCTTTGTTATCAAAAAGTGTCAATACTTATAAAGTTAACAAACACTGAGAAATGGACATAGTTTAGACCGGTATAATCAATAGACAAAGAAATGTCATCTCTCCATTTCTCGATAGTAACATTCTTGTTTCCCAAACATGTTGTTTAAATGTTTAATGGATTAAACATCTGGGGTTTGTTCCCCATACTAAAATTTCCGTTACCAATAATGACAGCTGGTGAAAAAACAATTAAAGGCATCAGATATTTACTGAGGGTTCATAGGAAGGTAACAGGAAACGTTTTATGATTGTCAAAGTAATGATGTCATAGGAAATGTGTTCATGTGTAATTTAAGTTTCAGGTTTGTTCAAATACTTGGTGGTTTCATTTTTGCTATCAGATTTTTCACTTTGGGAATTTGATGTTATTTTGATAGATTAAATGGTGGTTGACATGATGAAGAATATCACACACTAAACATTTCTGATTTTACATTTGCTGTGAACCTTTTAAATCATCTTTATCAGCTTATCATAAGTTTGTCCATACTGTGTCCTTTATTAATTCTGAGCTGAAAACTGAGAATTAAGATTGTGCTTATTTAACAGTATTCTAGAACAAGTCTCAGCACAGTTAGTCGATTAGGAAGAAATTAACTAAAATTTTACTTCATAATAATAGGTTTGTATGAATGTAAGACAAATAAATAAAAACAGATTCACTTACTGCTTCATTAGAAAAGCAATCATGTGTGAAATGAAATGAAAACTAAATGTTCAATATTTAAACATGCATGAATAGATACATATTTCCATAACAATGAGTTTTGATGTAGACTGAAACCAGTGTGTATGTGAACTGAAATGCTATCTCCGACAGGTGCAGGACATGTGAAAAGGAACAATAAAAATCAATATCTGTAATGAAATTTATAGTTGTTGCCTGACCATCAACACCAGACATGAATGAAACCTTAGACATGTACTGACAGGCAGAACTCAGCAATAAACATGTGTAGAAATTTAATGACATGTAGGAGTGAAGTTTCATCACCGATGCACACAACTGCTGAATCATGGACTCAGCCTCCGTAACTAATCAATGACATGATGATATAGATATCTTATACAAGTCCATCCTTACTGTACCAGACTGTGTAAAGATTTGTTAGTCTCCTAGCTCCCTAACGTTTTTTTTTCTGCCTGATGATCTATTAACATTTTCTAATCTGAATATTTGTCAATTTTTTACTTATATACTATCTCATGATATGTAAGCTTTGTCATGTAAAATAATTTTAAGTATTTTAAAGTCCAGATGTTTTTTTATATTTCTTTTTCATGCCAGTAGAACATAACTTTAACTTGAGTATGCAGTTTTTTAAGTTATGAATTTCTTTTTTGATTTGTTAATAGGCTTTCATGCCATAAAAACATTAGATCAAAATAACATCTGTTAATAGCATTGTCAGCTTCATATAATGTTGAAATTACCACTGTGTATTAAATAGTACACAATCCCTTTTATTTTGTCTTATCTCTTATGTATTCATCAACATGATATTCTAAACTTGTTTATCAACAAACATGATGATTACGTATCTACCTCAGAGACAAATTCATTAGGATAAGCTGAGTAAGGACGGGACAGGGATAGTTATTGTGTCCACCGATTACCATTATATAACAAAGTATGGAGGTTGGCGACGATGATGCTGGTAAATATAGTCAACCAACGCCGATATAACATCGACGATGCTGGCAGATATAGTCAACTGACGTCAATGTAACATTGTGACTTCCATGAAATGCAAATAATGGGCAAAGTACTTTAAAGGATAGAAGAAAATTTACACACAGACAATTCCCTGTATTTCGGAGGTGGTGGAGAATCAGAGGAAATTTACAAATAATGGAAGTGAAATCTACACAAATAAGATGAATTTCAAAACAAAAACAGAGCTAATAAAGTAAACAAAGGGTGAATCACAGCCATTTTTTTTCAGAAACCACTCAGAAATATTGAGTTTTTAATCACTGACTCGTACAATCTCAGTCATATTAATTATTTACTTGAGAACTGTACAACAATAGCATGTGAGACAAATACAGCACAACTCTGTCACAAATCTGATTCCATGCCATGCATCCTTAACGAGGTTCAATGGAATATTCTTGTCTGTCTCATAAATAAGAAAACAACAATTTTCTCCTATCTATTTCTGTTACTTTGCATCCAACATTTCTCAAAGTACACTGTATAAAAACTTCAAGCGTTGCATTCTTTAAGAATTTAACACCCAGTTAATAAAAAGTACTACTGTCTATATCATTCATTGTTTATTACTGTCCAAGTCCTATAAAGGGCTTCATTGTGTACATTTTTGATACTGAATTTTGCCTTTCTTGTTTTTCTTTTCCATTTTTCAACACAAATGTGTTTCAGTCTCTCTTATAAAGAACTTATATTACAGTACATCTTTGTCTATTCACAAACAAGTTGACAGAAAATCCACACTGATCGAACACTGAAACACATTTTTCTGATCACAAATTCATACTTTTTTTCTACGTTTCAACAAGCATTCCTTGAAAACTGCCATACCAACATTTCAGTAAGAGAGACCAGCTACAGAATGATGGATATGTTGATTCTCAAAATCTCACATCGTCACTTTAGGCTTGTATCATTTCAAGTAGAAAACATCAACAGTGACACACACCACCTGGCATTATCCTACAGCTCAACTACCATTATCAAATAATCTAACTTACACTGATTTTTTTTCAATATTTGTATAAAACTTTTCTCTTTCTTTGCAATAAGCCGTTTCTCTCCCCCACAACAGAGGAGGAGTATAACATTAGTAGATATGGCATGTCTCAACAGTGTTTTATCAGAAGATCTAGGAATTTAGGGGGTGTTACTTTTCATGTTTCCTTCATCACAATATAACTACATAACCTTGACATGAATGCCGACATAGTTAATCTAATCTATAATAGCTATAAGGAGACAATAAAAGCATTCTCATGCTGCCTTGTTTTATAGAGATTTAAACAAAAACACCTAAAATATCTCATTTTAAACAGATTTAAATAAAAGGAATTCTCATCATAAATACATTTAAATTCACAGATTATTTTCTGTCCAGAAACACTGATATAATCTGCACTGACGTCTATTACTATAACCTGGTAATGGCTTTCTATAATCTCAACACAGTCCGGAAATATTCAGAATATTTCTGTACATGATTTCTCAAATATAAAATGTTTTGGTTTTCTGAAAACAACATGATTATGATGATAACAATGATGATACACAGTAATAACATATATCATTATGGACCATGTAGAAAGCACACAGAAAATGATTTAGCACTTGGTGTGTTCTTTGTTTTGATCTTTATAAGAAGTCAGTTGCTTATAAGAAATGCACTTAATATAAACTTAATAAGTCGAATGAATAGGGTCAATGAAGTTGAAATGATAGAAATTTCAACAGACAGGTTGACACTGACACATCGCCAAAAAATGGGCAATCTTTTTACAATTATTGTCCCTTCTTTACATTTGTTCACCAGATTCCAGGTGATTTTTCCCTGATGATAATATCTTTACGACACACCCAATACTTGATAGTCAACTGATGCCCTTCTTTAACAAGAGGTGCATTATTGTGCTAATCTACAGGCAATATTCTATAAACATTGAAATGTCAGATAAAGGATTCCATGGTAGAGGGTCCCCCCTTATCTTAGCCTTATATACATCACACACCAAAATGTCCCAGGCAGATCCCTTCTGTCAGAGATAGACCAGGCATTTAACTGACTTTACCAGCAACCATTAATTTCCATATAATAGTAATTTTTGGAGAGCGTTATCTGATGGTGAATGAAAGTGATGTTTCACTAAATACCACAATGGGATCCCCTATGCCAGTTATCCTGGGGTTTATGTAAATATACCCCCCTGTGTTGCCATTAGTAGAGCATACACAGTCATAGTTAAACATATATACTGCAGTGACCTTGCATGGCAGTTCAAAACCTCAGCCAGCAGTATCTGTAATCAACCATAGCAACTGCATGATTTATTCTAAATACTAGATGGCTTTAAGGCTTGCATCATTGAATACAGACTCAATCATTGTCAGTATACAGACTCAATCATTGTCAGTATAAAGAATCATTGAATACAGACTCAATCATTGTCAGTATACAGACTCAATCATTGTCAGTATAAAGAATCATTGAATACAGACTCAATCATTGTCAGTATACAGACTCAATCATTGTCAGTATAAAGAATCATTGAATACAGACTCAATCATTGTCAGTATAAAGAATCATTGAATACAGACTCAATCATTGTCAGTAGGAAGAATCATTGAATACAGACTCAATCATTGTCAGACTCAATCATTGTCAGTATACAGACTCAATCATTTCAGTATCAGAATCATTAAACAGACTCAATCATTGTGTATGAAGAATCATTGAATACAGAATCATTGTCAGTATACAGACTCAATCATTGTCAGTATACAGACTCAATCATTGTCAGTATAAAGAATCATTGAATACAGACTCAATCATTGTCAGTATACAGACTCAATCATTGTCAGTATACAGACTCAATCATTGCCAGTATAAAGAATCATTAAACAGACTCAATCATTGTCAGTATGAAGAATCATTGTCAGACTCAATCATTGTCAGTATACAGACTCAATCATTGCCAGTATAAAGAATCATTAAACAGACTCAATCATTGTCAGTATGAAGAATCATTGAATACAGACTCAATCATTGTCAGTATGAAGAATCATTGAATACAGACTCAATCATTGTCAGTATGAAGAATCATTGAATACAGACTCAATCATTGTCAGTATGAAGAATCATTGAATACAGACTCAATCATTGTCAGTATAAAGAATCATTGAATACAGACTCAATCATTGTCAGTATGAAGAATCATTGAATACAGACTCAATCATTGTCAGTAGGAAGAATCATTGAATACAGACTCAATCATTGTCAGTATACAGACTCAATCATTGTCAGTATGAAGAATCATTGAATACAGACTCAATCATTGTCAGTATGAAACTGTTTTTTATAAGTTAATAGATTATAAATGGTCCTTTAATGTTATGTTTGATAAGATATCTGAAGTAATTATCTTTAGCTAGTGGCTGTCAGCAATACTTTAGAAGATCTGGGATGAGAAACATTACACAACAGGCCAATGTCCGACCTTTATGATCATCTGGCTATGAAGATCTATAACTACAATAACACTGTTCAATTCTGTTTCATCACATCCACCAAATTTCAACTCATTGACACCATTGGAACTGAAGCAAGGGTGTAAAATGTGTTTTCCAGGATGATCACAATGATGGCCATATTGGATTTCAGATATACCCAAAAAGTTAGGACACTTGGTCAATACTAGAATATAATCTCAAGATTCATTCATGGCAAGTTTCAGGTCAATCTCACAGGCACCACTTGAGAAGAAGTTTGAAATAGGTGTTGTTCAAGCAAACAACCAAAGCAGTTTTAGAACTTGTTTTCAACATGACTAGGATGACAGCCATCTTGGATTTCACACTGATCAAAAATAGAATATGTGAAAGGTTTATGGCAGACACTACACAAAGACTGACTAAATGGGATGGTTAAAGGTCATCCTGACCATAGGTCAGTTGACCTAATAATTATATACACTATAACAAAAGGCTGTATTTATCTAAATGCTGAAATTGATAAAATATCTTCATATGACTTCAGAAACCTCTGTAAAACAGCAATTTAAATTGTAACGTGTATCTTAGAAAACGAGCCTTCCATTGTATTGATCTGTTACTTCCACTTTCTAAGATCACTTCAATCCAGCTAATGGTAGTCCGTATGCAGTCACAAATATAATAACAAATTATACAAAAAGTGAAGCTTCATAAAGCACATTAAAATAATCAATGGTAAACAAAAGCTGTTTACAAGACAGAAAACTGATATTTAAATCAATACCTATGGTGAGTCACTTGCCATCATCAGATCAGGTAAATAATGCATGTGTAAATACAACACTAGCCAAGAAAGCCATAACTAACAACCAGAAGACCATATAGTACAAACCCATCCACATCACCTCACATAGGAAATGGATGGTGAAATAATGCTTGATTTGTTTGTCACCTGTTGACAACTACGGTCGTTTTGTGGATGGATCACAATACTTGTAGTAATAGGTGGTTACCTCACTGAACAACAGACTGGAGGCCTTCTGCAGGACATGACCACAACAGCATACTTAAGAAACCCAACATCAACCCCTACCCCAAACTCCTTCCCCTCCCCTCTAACGCCCCGCAAATGTCAACTGTCATCTAACTGTGATAGTTATCTATCTAACTAAAACTCTATCTGGAAACCTTTGTCAGCATAAAATTTCATAAAATGGCAAGGTATTGGACTACCAGAAGTTACCAATTCATATTAAAAAAAATTGAGAGACCTGCCTTCAAAACCCACCTGTTGAGCCAGGTACTGTGTGATACGCTAGGCGTGGGAGTCTCTACAGGTCAAAGTGACATACAGAGGTAAGGTGGGCGGAAGACTTCCATACATCAACATCATAGGAGGTCTCAGGTAATCACTCCTTAATTGAGGTCACTCTCACACTTATCTCATTGGACCTATGCATAGGTAACACTTGAAATGTTTATCTTGGTTGTTTCGTGTTTTTGGTTTTTTTTTAGTGTCTATTAGTTCAATGATATCCAATGAAGCCATAAGGTCTAACAGTAAAACTGTATATACTTTTGAGTAAGCTATTTGGTATCATTTTAAAAAAAAATCTGACTCAGATGAAAACCAACAAGAGACCAAAACATCTTCCTGTGTTAAAATGTCCTGGAAACAGTTTTCAATGACCAATAATATGAATACAGAGAGAACCATACAGCCTTGTGCTGCCCATTTTTGTGGTTAGCCACAAATTGAGACACTCAGCTCAGTCACATACAGGAAGCTGACTATAACCCCAATTCAGGAAATATGGTGGGAGTTTTATTATCATTTTCACTGATTTACCACAGACATCAATCAACCGATATCTTGTGTTGCTATTGGCGTTAATTTATTCAGTTATGACACACCTCATTTGCATCATCTTTATGAAAAGTGGGAAAAATAGTTTCACATTTTTCTAGTGTGAAAATGTGAACTTGTTCTAACAGAAAAATCAGTTAGGAACATATCAATTTGGTAATTCTCTAACCTGGACATTGTTAACTGCTGTCTCACCCACTTGTTACACTCCATGTTTATTATCTAAGTTTACCCATACTTGAATAGAAAAGCATCATATTTTCCTTCGTATTCAAATTATTAACACTGTAAAACTATGTACCTGATCATATAAATAGTAGAATGTCACTTTATCCTTGGTGTATAACTCCTGGAAACTCTTGGGAAGGTAGCGTACCCTTAGTTCATATCTGTAAGACAAAAACAAATTTAAGTATTAGTACAGATTAGCTAAGGAATTCAATAACCAATTTCATTAGTTATCACAAATATAAGGTTTCAGTTTGGTAGATTTGGGAAAACTGTGTAGGGTGGTCTTCTGTTTTACCTTAAGCATGTAATTCTTACTATATTGTCTACAATGTACACCATATGTGTTTGCCTGGCCTAATAAACTCCGTATGTATAATTGATTTAGCTAGGTAAATTCTGTAAACATCAGATGCTCTGTTTTTGTATTGAAGCTAATAAAGTGTCTAATTCTCATCCCTTTCTTCCTTTGAATATTATCAAGAAGGATACAATGAAACCATATAATGTTTGTCTGTTTTACAGATAGATGACAGAATTGTGACACTAATCGATATGTATGCTGAAAGGTCATCATGTCCCTTATACTTATTTGGGAGGTAGGATCACTGGAGATAGATAGCATTTTTAACAGATTTTGCATATTTTAAAGATTTTACATATCCAGCATACATCTGAGGTCTCAGATTATGTGTATTTTCTTTTCTTTCCTTGTTTGTTACACAGCAGTTTATTCTTGATTATGTTTTATGGTATGATATACATTATGGAAGCTAGCCAAATCTAGTAGAACTGTGCTAGAGAAGGTATGTTGATCTGATATCATAACTTCATACATTATAAACAAGGTGGATGAAATTTAATCCTGTGAGACAGTATGGCTGGGCTTTGTATGATTTCATCAATGGGATACTCCAGTATTTCAGGAATTAAGATGAATCCAAGATACTACAGGCCCTGAGAGACCAGGAGACCTGACTGTACAAGGGCAGTGTGTTGTTGATACCTATAGTGTTATACCTCTATAGAACAGGTGTCAACACTGTTACCCTGAACTTCCTCTAACCTACTAACACATGTGTCTAGCATGTGTTCCTACTATCTCAGCTGCAACATCCAACTAGACAGTTCCCTTATAGTAAACGTTTGATCTTCATCTCAAACAACTTAATAAAGCCACACACTAACAAAACTGGGTCAGAGGGGAGAAAATGTTGGTGCTACTTACTATAACAGTTTCTTATGTTAACCATTACACCAAGTTCAATGATATATTGGAAACCTTATTCAGGTCTGCATAACCATTCATCAGCATAACTGTTCTAAAAATACTTTCTATATAGTTATCTTTGTACATGATTAGCATTGACCAGATGTAAGAATTTTATATTAAAAAAAATCAGCTTTATGCCATTGCAAATTTAGACATAAATATTATGTCAATTTAATTATATACTATGAAATGTACGACTGAATAATTCAGAAATGCAGGTTACTAATGAAGGACTTCATAGCACTGAGACACCAACTGACGTCTGAAGTTAGGTCCCAGGACCACGTCAGTCAGAGCTTTACTGATGTGCTACAACTATTACACCTGTACCTTAACCTCATCAGACACACTTAACGATTCTAATGATGTGCCAATTGATCAAGCACAACACACCTCCACCTCGATTTCCCTGTTAGAGCTCACAGCAGGTGCTTTAAAGCGATGAACAAAGATGTTAATGTCTCACCTGTCTTGTACAGGTTAGAGTGACCTTGACATTTCCTGAGTCAGTATTATCTGTCATTCTCTGACTCCTTATCATGACAAATGTATCAGTAATGAATTAGATCACCATAGATTATCATACAAGTTCGAACTACTGCTCTTCTATTCAGTAACACTACTTATTTTATCTGTATAAACATTTATAATCAATAAGGATTCTAACGCCCTGACAGGTAAGTATCTATCCCCATCCCCCATTCTACGATCTTAGGATCTACTTAAAATCACTTCTTAATATACATTGCATAGAATACAGTGTACAACAGTTTCAGAAATTTCTCGGAAACAAAAGTATGAATGGACTGACAGATATGCAAACATGATTATCATAGTAGACCACACTTAACACCTGGTTTTCCTAATAAGAAATCAGATATCAGCTAAGAAATAGACCATGGACAATGACACCAGTGGTGAAGGTCTAAAATCTACATGTGTATTATGTTTGTTCTACTCGGCTCAAAAATCTTAACTATCACATATTTTTTTTCTTTTTTTTTAACATAATTCTAGTAAGTAAATTCCATCCTGTTTATTTCACTATGGTCGGTACACTTTGGTTCCCTGTCAAAATTGTCTGTACACTTGTTTATTCTGTCAAAATTGTCTGTACACTTGTTTATCCTGTCAAAATTGTCTGTACACTTGTTTATTCTGTCAAAATTGTCTGTACACTTGTTTATTCTGTCAAAATTGTCTGTACACTTGTTTATCCTGTCAAAATTGTCTATACACTTGTTTATCCTGTCAAAATTGTCTGTACACTTGTTTATACTGTCAAAATTGTCTGTACACTTTGCTGCCCTTTCAATATTGTCTGTACACTTGTAACCCTGTCAGTTCTGTCTGTACACTTTGTTACCCTGTCAGTAATGTCAGTACACTTTGTTACCCTGTCAGTTCTGTCTGTACACTTGTAACCCTGTCAGTACTGTCTGTACACTTTGTTACCCTGTTTATACTGTTTGTAGACTTTGTTACCCTGTCAATACTGTCTGTATATACACTTTCTTACACTATCAGTACTGTCTGTATAATATGTTACCCTATCAGTTTTATCTGTGCACTTTGTTACCCTGTTTGTACTGTGAGTACACTTTGTTACCCTGTCAGTTCTGTCTGTACACATGTAACCCTGTCAGTACTGTCTGTACACTTGTAACCCTGTCAGTTCTGTCTGTACAATTGTATTCCTGTCAGTACTGTCTGTATACTTTGTTACCCTGTTTGTACTGTCTGTACACTTTGTTACCCTGTTTGTACTGTCTGTACACTTTGTTACCCTGTCAGTACTGTCTGTACACATGTAACCCTGTTTGTACTGTGAGTACACTTTGTTAACCTGTCAGTTCTGTCTGTACACATGTAACCCTGTCAGTACTGTCTGTCCACTTTGTTACCCTGTCAGTTCTGTCTGTACACTTTGTAACCCTGTCAGTACTGTCTGTACACTTGTTACCCTGTCAGTACTGTCTGTACACTTTGTTACCCTGTCAGTACTGTCTGTACACTTTGTTACCCTGTCAGTACTGTCTGTACACTTTGTTACCCTGTCAGTACTGTCTGTACACTTGTAACCCTGTCAGTAGTATTGTCTGTACACTTGTATCATTTGTTACCCTGTCAGTACTGCCAAACCACTTTGTTACCCTGTCAAGACTGTCTGTTAACCTTGTTACCCTGCCAGGACTATCTGTTAACCTTGTTACCCTGTCAGGACTGTCTGTTAACCTTGTTACCCTGCCAGGACTATCTGTTAACCTTGTTACCCTGTCAAGACTGTCTGTTAACCTTTTTACCCCGCCAGGACAATCTGTTAACCTTGTTACCCTGTCAGGATTGTCTGTTAACCTTGTTACCCTGTCAGGACTGTCTGTTAACCTTGTTACCCTGTCAGGACTGTCTGTTAACCTTGTTACCCTGTCAAGACTGTCTGTTAACCTTGTTACCCTGCCAGGACAATCTGTTAACCTTGTTACCCTGTCAAGACTGTCTGTTAACCTTGTTACCCTGCCAGGACAATCTGTTAACCTTGTTATCCTGTCAGGACTGTCTGTTAACCTTGTTACCCTGTCAGGACTGTCTGTTAACCTTGTTACCCTGTCAGGACTGTCTGTTAACCTTGTTATCCTTTCAGGATTGTCTGTTAACCTTGTTACCCTGTCAGGACTATCTGTTAACCTTGTTACCCTGTCAGGACTGTCTGTTAACCTTGTTACCCTGTCAATATGCTGTTTTGTGGAGACACCATTTGCTATTGATTGTCTTGTTGATATTTGAATATTTCATGTGAAATACCACTGTGAAAACCTCTCAGAAGATCAGGCTATGATATCCTCCTGACTGCTAGGTAAACTTAATCCTCCAATATCCAATGGCAGCTGCCACATATTGTCACTCTCAAGTTTTGCGTGATACTCGACATTAAAGCATTCACAGAAATTATTTAATTTGAATATAATCAGACAGGAAATGGGATCTTTATTCAGCATATTCAGTTTTCTACCATACAATCCACTGATAGCCCCAGTGGATCCTAACAAAGATAACCAGCAGGGTCAAAGCTCAGCATCTGTACTTCTACTTTATACACCCAGCTCCCACCACATTGTGTGTAATATTTCTAAATTTATTGTTCATTACTATTTTTTTCAAGCTGTTCATGTCATTTAAGAAAAAAAAATCACTTTTTCATAAGGGATTTTTAAATTTGTTTCAAATAAGAATAATTGCAGTTGCAGCTAAATTTCAGGGAGAGTTTCTAACAAATTCCTGTTTTTCATTATTTCTACAAAAAATAGTTGATATCCCGTTTCTGTGCTGGTAATAGTTTCCAGACTCAACTATGTGAGTTTTCCTTAAAAACCTGTCAATTATTGTCAATTAAACACAAGGATACTTCATGGCACCTTATCTCTTATGCTGCAGGGATGGAAACATACTTCAACTAAAACATTTAAGCAGAGTGCTTGTGAGATCATTTTAAGCCTATTTAATGGAACCCTTTTATAAGTGAACAACATACATATGTTTGTTTTTCTTCTCAATTCTGAAAATCTTTACGGTTTCCCATTATGGTACTTTCTACCTCATTTCTGCTGCAAGATATGATCAAAATCCTGTCTCCCCTTTAATTCTGGATTGGATCAATCCATCAGTGATCTAAGACTCCAGTTGTATGTGGTCAGAAGGGTGAATGCATTTAACTTAATAAGTAATTAATTATCCTCATCAATCAGAATGTTTGTGCCTAATTACCATGCTCCACATCAAAGCATGAGCTGAAGCACACAGACCCTGAGTCTACTAGGACTTAACAGATTTGACACTTCCACTGGCTGGACAGTGTTTTCCTTGCAGGAGTACTGGCTGGAGACCATTCTCTAGGGTCCATCTATCTACAGGCCACAGACTTTGGACGAAGCCCAGACACAGACTTACATACAATTTGATTTATCTACATGTTGATTCTGTAATTATGTGATAGAAGAAAGGGGGAGTCGGCGAGACTTTGAGAAAGTATTGTATAAACATAAGTAAAGAAAGAGTTTAATTACCCTTCAGCTGTATGTCTGACTTGAAAACAAATTGTCGAGCAAATTTTTTTGAGATATATATATATGTTTGTGGAACGGAATGGTTCCACAATTTTTCTTTGTTTTAAAAAAAAATATAAGAAGATTTTCAACATTATTTTAATCTGCTCATTATTTCCTTTTTTCTATGCAAGATGTATGAAGTGGATGAAGAAAAATCAATATCTCCTACACATATGTAAAGCAGACTGTTGACATCTGCGTGCACATGTCCAACTACATTGATTTCTATCGAGTGTGTAACAGAACCACGGGATAAATAAAATTAGTCACTTAACCAGGTTTGAAAATCAAGCCTAGGATATCAAGTCTTTCAGGATAATTCGATTTTTATAATCGTTATTGGTTTTTCTTTCTCATTCGGCACAATCTACCTCTGCAGTGACCATCAGTAGCACAATGTGGTGACAGTTATTCTGTCGTTAAAATAATGCTGATAAATGCAAATAAAAAATCTGACCTTTTTTCAGATTTTATTTTGTGAAATCAGTTCTTTAAATCTTTAAAATAGGGTGTTTTCCACTTTCATTCAGTAATCTCGACAATCAATGAAAACTTGCCTTTTATATTTACATCAGTTGACATGATCATTATGGCCAAATTTCAAGTGATGTAATTTTGATATTTTTTGGTCATTTAAAACCATATTTTATCAGTACAGACGACGCCCAAAGCCTTCAGCCTGTAGTATGCCCAACCAGGATTCAAATTGTAGATTTATGTAAGATGTGTTTTTAATATATGTAATATGATGAAGTGCAGTTCCTAAACACACAGTCCTTTTTATATATAAACCAACATAGTTAATTATATGTAATAACCAGCATCTTGTTTGTTGTATATTTACGGTAATGTTAGGCTGTAGAATTACTATCAGAAGCAGGGAGCAGACACAACCCTTGATAATCCCCATTACATTGTGTATGTGAAGTACATCCTAGGTTATCAAATCAAAGTGAGCACTTCAGATTGTTGGTTTGAGAGTGGACCGTGTCTGAACAAGCTAAGCTTGCCATGTGTATAATCATTGTGTAGTCGCCAATATGTTAACCAAGTAAACAACCTGAATCAAAGACAACAAAAATTGGTCACAAGATAATTATCATTTCCAAAACTTTTAAATTATGTTCTATCACGTTTGAGATATAAATCTAGTCAGCTGAATTATACCGTATACAAAGAAATGGTTCTCAGTTACTAGACCACTACAAGAAACAAGACCTTTTAAGAAATGAATTTCAAAAATTCCACAAGATGACACCACGATGACTTTTTAGTTTAGATGGCCATATCAAATGACCATTCTGTTACCTAACACCATTTTGAACACCCTCCACAGTCATCTACTATTTCATATGTAGTTCTATCCATCATACAGTTTACAAGTCTGAAAACCAGATTTCATGTGACTTTAGGAGACAGAGTTCTGTCTATCATTAATAGTCACCGTGAGTAAGTCTTAAATAAAAAATCACAATTAATTCTTGTGACTTCAGGATACAGAGACAAGACAATGACCATTCACCTAATAACCAGTAAAAGTAGGCCACAGACAACCTTTCAAAGCCTACCTAACATACAGGTATACCTACAGACAAATTCAGTCTATGTATAGTTAGCTACAACTATGCTATGATACAATGACAACACTGATCCAGATTTGTAACATGTACAGTATACATTATACTTCACACATTCTACCCTAACATGTACAGCATACATTATACTTCACACATTCTACCCTAACATGTACAGCATACATTATACTTCACACATTCTATCTAACATGTACAGTATACATTATACTTCACACATTCTACCCTAACATGTACAGTATACATTATACTTCACACATTCTACCCTAACATGTACCATATACATTATACTTCACACATTCTACCCTAACATGTACCGTATACATTATACTTCACACATTCTACCCTAACATGTACCGTATACATTATACTTCACACATTCTACCCTAACATGTACCGTATACATTATACTTCACACATTCTACCCTAACATGTACAGTATACATTATACTTCACACATTCTCACACCTAACATGTACCGTATACATTATACTTCACACATTCTACCCTAACATGTGTCACACATACTATACATACATTATATCACACATTCTACTAACCTACCCTAACATGTACCAGCATACATTATACTTCACACATTCTACCCTAACATGTACCATACACATTATACTTCACACATTCTACCCTAACATGTACCGTATACATTATACTTCACACATTCTACCCTAACATGTACCGTATACATTATACTTCACACATTCTACCCTAACATGTACCGTATACATTATACTTCACACATTCTACCCTAACATGTACAGCATACATTATACTTCACACATTCTACCCTAACATGTACAGTATACATTATATTCACACATACTACATACATTACTCACACCTAACTAACATGTACCGTATACATTATACTTCACACATTCTACCCTAACATGTACAGCATACATTATACTTCACACATTCTACCCTAACTTGTACCGTATACATTATACTTCACACATTCTACCCTAACATGTACCGTATACATTATACTTCACACATTCTACCCTAACTTGTACAGTATACATTATACTTCATACATTCTACCCTAACTCGTACCGTATACATTATACTTCACACATTCTACCCTAACATGTACCGTATACATTATACTTCACACATTCTACCCTAACATGTACAGTATACATTATACTTCACACATTCTACCCTAACATGTACCGTATACATTATACTTCACACATTCTACCCTAACATGTACCGTATACATTATACTTCACACATTCTACCCTAACTTGTACAGTATACATTATACTTCACACATTCTACCCTAACTTGTACAGTATACATTATACTTCACACATTCTACCCTAACTTGTACAGTATACATTATACTTCACACATTCTACCCTAACTTGTACAGTATACATTATACTTCACACATTCTACCCTAACTTGTACAGTATACATTATACTTCACACATTCTACCCTAACATGTACCATATACATTATACTTCACACATTCTACCCTAACTCGTACCATATACATTATACTTCACACATTCTATCCCAACTTGTACCATACACCACCGACAACCAGTTTTATAGTCTACCCTAACTTGTACCATACAACACAGACAACCAATTTTATAGTCTACCCTAACTTGTACCATACACACAGACAAACCATTTTATAGTCTACCCTAACTTGTACCATACACCATGTACAACCAATTTTATAGTCTACCCTAACTTGTACCATACACCACAGACAAACCATTTTATAGTCTACCCTAACTTGTACCATACACCATGTAGATCCAATTTTATAGTCTACCCTAACTTGTACCATACACCATGTACAACCATGGCATAGAGATTGAATTCAAAAAAATTCACAGAAACTGAACTACAATTTCATTAATAAATCCAGAAAATATATTGTTTACGTTTCAGGGTCAATGTGCCCCCCAGGGACGACAAATAATTACATATATCATAATATCGCTAGATTCTCTCCTTGTTCTGTTGCCTAAAGCAGAACATCGATATCCTCATCACAATGACCTCTTTGTGACCTTGCATCACACTAATTTCTGAACAATTATTGTGAGGTGTGCAATAATCAATTATGTTTCAGATATCCTCTAGAGTATTGTACACATAGTGTTTACAACTAGTTTGTTTAATATGATTCAAATAACATATTTTGATACATTTTACTGAACTTACCTCCACTCGTCAGATGGATGTGCAGACTCGTATTTTTGTCGGACCTGGTACATGGAGAGGTTATTGTGAAGCCAATAACTGTCCTTGGATGGGATATTCACTAACTTGAGGGCGTAACAGTTGGCAAAGTACCTCTCTCCTGCCGTCAACCTTCCAACCACTAACTTGATTATGTCCTAAAAAACAGTCAACACCATCCTAGTGTTATCAAGTTGTCTTTGGTGTGTCAAGTTAGGATTTCTTTATGGTATCATCAAACAATCATATTTTAATTCCATGTGTCAGATTTTTATCATCGATTTTGTAATATCAATCACAGCGTTACATATGATCTAATCTGATATACCAGACTGGATGTAATCAAATAGTGGAGAGACATCACACATTAATATGGTGCAATATCAAATTTTATTATAACATGCACTACCAAGCAAAATTAAGTGATTATACAGAATATGTCAAATATGTTTCCGACAACATCTTGCATCATGTAAAAGAGCTATAACTAGATTAAAAGTGTTATATGGCACAGAAGGAGGTCTGATATCAGAACAAGACACAAAATGTGGCAATCTTGTCAATAAACAAGTCATTTATTAGATATGTCCTGAACGGTACAACAGATTACCTCTACCTCAAAGTCAACGGGGCCTACATATCATTACCAATGAATTGAAGTCAAGGGAAGTCAACAAGGCCAACATATTACTTTTGACTCAGAGTCAAGGGGAAGTCTACGGGGCCATCACATTACCTTTGACTCAGAGTCAAGGGGAAGTCTACAGGGCCATCACATTACCTTTGACTCAGAGTCAGGGGGAAGTCTACGGTGCCGTCACTTTACCTTTGACTCAGAGTCAGGAAGAATTCTAAGGTGCCATCAAATTACCTTGGACTCAGAGTCGGGGAAGTCTACAGGGCCATCACATTACCTTTGACACAGAGTCAGGAGGAAATCTACAGGACCATCACATTACCTTTGACTCAGAGTCGGGGGAAATCTACAGGACCATCACATTACCTTTGACACAGAGTCAGGAGGATTACCTTTGACTCAGAGTCAGGAGGAAATCTACAGGACCATCACATTACCTTTGACTCAGAGTCAGGGGGATGTCATTGGGCCATCACATTACCTTTGACACAGAGTCGGGGGAAATCTACGGAGCCATCACATTACCTTTAACTAGGAGTCAGGGGGAAGTCTACAGGATCATCACATTACCTTTGACTTAAAGTCAGGGAAAAATACACAGGTCCAATATATTACCTGTGACTCAAAGTCAGTGGGTATGTTTAATACAGGACAATGAACATAAACATATATGGGTAGGATTATTACCAGACACGGGTTGATTGATGGATATTTACCTTGACATCAGTGGCATCCCCATATTTGACCATGTTGAAGCCCCCATTAGGGAGGTGCACCTTGAGTATGGTACGTTCCATTGTGCACTTTTTCACCTTTCTGTCTGATTCGTTTGTATCAAACTCCTGTATAGGGTCTAAAACTACTTCCCGGCATCCATCATCATCATCTTGAATTAACTTCCAGAGCTTGCTCCATCGTGCTATCTGTAATGACACAGAGCAGATAAATTGTAATGATACATTTACTTCTGACACTTCACAAAAAGTCCTTCAATTATGTCACAGTATATAATAAACTTTAACAGATAATTCAGCAACACCTACTGTTCCTAGGTAACATTAACAGCATCAGTAGGTAAGCACATCTGATTAATAACTTGTAGTATTTTACACAATACATAATCATCATATATTTCAATTTTTCAAAAGCAATAATCATCATCTTTTACATCATACTTACCCACTGATACTAAATTGGTATCTGATTTCAAAAACAAAACTTGGTTAATGTACACTTCTCACAATGAAAATTATCTTTTATTAAATTAATGTGTCTAAACCACAAAAGAGGCATTGTCATAGGTTTCCTATAAAAAGATATTTTTGATGAAACACAATGTGAGTTTGTGAATCCTTCATTCATACTGTCTTATTAACTTGACACAGAGCATCAGAGGTGACACAACCTGCATAAAAGTTACCTGTATGTTATACATTACACAAGGCTTTCTAATATTTGTCAATCGTCTCATGGAAATAAATTCATTTTACCTGTAATTAAACATCATGAATATGACAGAGACTGTATAGTACATTAGATATAGGATCAAACGAAATCTCACTATATAATGTACAACAAGCTACTGTTAGGTAGACATGTAACAAGAAGTGCCAGACAGGAAAGTAACACTTGTTCAATCAGAACTGAAACCACTGATCTTAATGTTGTGAAACACAACTGCAGCAGATACATACTGATGTTTTTTCTTGACACTATGCTTTTGGTATGTTATATATAACAAAACTTCAAAATCCCTCTGAAGTATTCCTTGTAGCAGAAATTAATCCAAAATTATCCAGAAACCAATGTTTGGACCAAATGGATCGGGTAAACCTTCCAAAAAAGCATATTAAAACCTGTACATGCTTGAAGCCCACACCTCCAGACCCTAATCCTCGAGTGTGATCAGGTGGGCCAAGATGTACTTGTGTGAAAATCTAAGCCAAAACACCAGATAATTTTCACGATGAAAACACACAAACTTCAACTTTACTGTCAGCATTTTGTACAGCTTCCAACAACTATGTGGAGAACTGTTTTTATTTTTCCAGTGATTATGTACTTAAAAGTTCAAAGTGAGAGATTCTATCTCCGACCCTGTTAAAACCTTGGTTAAATACTTGTTTACACTGTTTAACACTAGATTATGCACTTCCTTAACAACTGCCACACAAATTTTCCCTGTATTGCCACAAAAAATTTGTCTTGCAGATCTAGACTTTAGTACAACAAAATGGCTGCTATGGCTGCCATCTTAAATATCTAACTACAAGATAACTTAACTTCATGGTAGGGACCCAAACTGAACATCTTAAAGTTCTTTAAAATCTCTTTGGCTGCACTTAATTAAATCAGACTTTTAGACAGATTTTCAAAACTGCTGCTATTGCAAATATCTTCAATCCCTTAAATCAATTTAGTTTCAGTTAAAAATATCAAATGCTAACAGATGACATGTTAGATTGCAACTGGTTACCTGTGTCCTTACTTCTGGTGACCTCAAGTCTTTGTGATAGTTAGGACAACTATCTGATTAAAGTTCAAATTTAATACCAAATTCCTATACAATAAGTTTCCCTGTATCATCAGTTTACCTAAGTGGTTGCCATACAAATTTTGATTTTCAGATTTAAATGCAATTTTTTTCTTTCATAACGTACCACTTGTTATTATTTGTATGGCATATTGATGTAAAAATTCTTACACAAAGAAAGAGTGTTATGTCATCCAAATTAATTTTGTTTCAAGCATGGAATTAGTTTCTATGGTAACACACTTTGGAAAAGAAAGTCACTTTACCTGCCACATTAAAGAATGTCATAAAACTTTATTACCATGCCTATTTAACCTGACACACAGAGAAATCCTGTCAGACAGTCTTTACTCTGTTCAATTTAAACACAATTCACAATGTTCAAATTATATCACAATAATGGCAGTCTACAATAGATCTTTACTTTTAAGTAATTGTATCCTCATTATAAATCCCATAAAATTGCTCCAGACACCTGATATTTAGGGAAAACTCTACATTCATTATCCCTCGGCTAATCGACTTTGGTCAGAAAGTACGTTTCAAAGAGAGGAAATGCATAGATGCCCTTGTTCTTGACCTCAAGACCCAACAACTAACACATCAAGTTTCCCCTTTTATACTCTACTACAATATCTGTCAAATTTAACACTTGAGAAAAAAGAAACCAAGATATCAGATTAGTAATTCAACCAATCATAAGGTGTGTTTCTAATAACGTTGGCCAGGTGTGTAGTATAGGCCGTTATTTAGAATTCATACTCCAATAAACTAGAGTTAAAGTTCTGTGTTTCCTTCCTGATTTTATCGAGGTGACATAGTTTTAAATCTATAAGCACCGATTACTGATAGTTTTAAATGCTTGAAACTGCCTTTTAAACTATGCAATGTATGAAGTTTTTTTATCGAGAACGTTTGAAGATGAGCACTGGCATGAGATAGGCTGACAGCTATGGCAGGAAGTAGACACTGTAACATCTATAGAGGTGCAGAAAATCAGAGGCTTGCAATCTACTTTTAAATCAACTATCTCCACCCTTTAGGAATCTAAGACCATTCTAAATATCATTCATAATGAAATACAATATTTTATCTCAAAATGGCAAGTGTATTTTTAAATGTGTTGACACAGAAATTTTTTCACTCGACATCTGTATTTAAAAGTATGTTCAAGGGGAAAATTTCAAATGATGCTTTATTTGGTATTTCCTTTGCAGTCTAACAATATTTCCTCTCTTTATTTCAAACAATTTGTGTCTAAGGGAGCAATAATAGCTAAGTCAGTATAGAGTTTGCCTATATAACCTCTTGTGAAGATCTGAGGTGGAGCTGCATGATTGGACACTCCCTATGAGTTGCTAATTGTGTTTCTCAGGAGAAACAGACCTGTCTGTGTTGTTGTGATAGTGTCCTACGGCAGTTAAATACTCTGCACTAATTGTTCTGGATGGCATGCGACAGGGAGACCTATGTTGTCCAAAGAGGTAGCTACCATGCAGTGACAGGGAGACCTATGTTGTCCAAAGAGGTAGCTACCATGCAGTGACAGGGAGACCTATGTTGTCCAAAGAGGTAGCTACCATGCAGTGACAGGGAGACCTATGTTGTCCAAAGAGGTAGCTACCATGCAGTGACAGGGAGACCTATGTTGTCCAAAGAGGTAGCTACCATGCAGTGACAGGGAGACCTATGTTGTCCAAAGAGGTAGCTACCATGCAGTTATGACAAGGAGGCTCCGACTCAAAATTACCATGGCTGTTAATGACGCCATAAACCCAGTATAAAAACAAAAAATTAAAATTTCTGGGGTAACCATGACAATTTTAGGAATATTTTCTATAGTGTCCCCTTAAATAGATGATATCCTTTTTTATGTTTATTCTGAAGTTAATGTAAGTGGAAATAAACAACATATGTTGACCACTTTATAGACGTATATTTATAAAGAAAGTATTAAGTCAAGATCTAGTCCATGTAACTGATTTTGTTTATCAATGAAGTCCTTTAAAGCTTAGTGTGTGTTGGCTGATCCGATTTTAAAGTCCTTTCTCTAAGCTTCTCATTATATAAACCCCAATCAATGGCCAACAAACTTTCATTAAGGTCAACAGCCATCACTTTAAGATTGCATTAAGTATTAACTAAATCAAATTAATTAGTGTGTATGAAAACTAATATGGTTATAATTTGCCACCACCTGGCTATAGTGTGTAGGCCTCAGGGACTCACTGAGATGTAACCCCATCCTGTCAATGATCAGGGGTATGTGTTTAACTCCTTGTAAATTAATAAAGAGGCCCAAAGGCCTTTATGATAGCCTGAGTTCTATAAATACTGCTGTTGTCCTTATTTGTAATATATCAAAGTAAAATGACTTGAATTACACTGAACATGTAACCAAGTTCAAATTAAAAGAAATTATGCTCATATGTGCAGTTTTCTTATAATAACTACAGATAATGGTACCCGTTATCTAGGAAAAATGTAAGACAATGGGGAGCACAGACCCTTCTATCCATCCAGTAACTTATCTATCTTATCCGCATCTTAAGTAGAAGACAAGTTGATTTGACCCCTTTTGGTTAGTGTGGGGACCATGTAATTCACAATTTTGGTTCACACTTTGCCATTAAAGGTTACAACAGACAAAGCCCAACGCTGGAAAAAAGTAAATTGCAATAGGTCACCTTTAAGACTTTGTCTTGTGTGACGTTGAGCTCTAACCCGATGAACTAAACCAATGATCACAAAATCCTGTGACAAATTTATAATCTAATAATTCTAAGCAAATTCAAAATCCATTTAGTTCCTGAGATATGTATATTGTTTGTGATTTTCTCAACATCTAAATTACAATTTTTTTTTCATAACTTTATGATAATGTAAATGTGATGTTCAAGGAAATATAATGATAAACAACAAACATGATGAGTGTTTCAATTATTTCCATGCTAACAGTTTCTGAGGTACAGAAACAATTTAAGCTCTGTACAAGTCCTGAAACATTGAGTGTAATTACAAGTTAAATTGTCGTCCTAAATATGGAAATAAGTTCTTAAATAACAGCATATTGGTGCCAAACAGATAATTGTCCAAACCCTTCCATTAAAGAACTTTAAAGAGCTCTTGATTATCAACCTGATAAAGACAATATATTACAAGACCCCCATTGGCCTTAACGGTCCTCAGACATAAAATACAAGATTTCAAATTATGAACTTGAGAAGAAGTCAAAAATGTGTTTTCAAGATGGCGGCCATGTTGGATTTTGGACCAACCCAAAATTAACAAACTTTGGTCAGGATTATGTCACAATCATTTCAGGTAAGTTTCAGCTCAATGAGACATGTAGAACTTGAGAAGAAGTTGAAAATGTTTACGCCGGACGAC